CTATTTGTATTGTGTATTTCTAATTGACATGAATAAATATCTATTATCCCAAAATTTACCAAATTAGCCCACAATGATCGTCACAGAAACCTAAATTATTAAGCGCTGACTTATAACCTTTGATCTACTCTAGAATCTTTTAAAAAGCATTATCATATAATTAGCCAGTCATGGTTTCATTCAAGAACGTTTAGCCTTTTCTGTGGTTGAGATGCACAGCGCAGAGGCTGTGAGATTGTTATCTGAATGTCAGAGCAACACACAGTTCACGCATGCACACGGTCTGCAGTGCCAGATTATCCCGGTAGTGACAGGTCCCACATAGACGCACTCGCTGCCTCCAACTTTACTGGATAAGAGATAAAAGTTGCTAAAATGCCAGCGCTATTGTGACATTTCACAAGCTTCGAATGCTTCTAATACAATTCCATATTTAGTGCAAAAATTACATCCCGCAAGTCATCTTGATTATTAAAACGATGACAGTATAATAGACCAGCATATGAGTTTTCCTCGAAAAATTTCGACCTGACATTTTAATTACATGGTCGAAGGTGGATCTTTTAAAGGGCACCTATCATGCAAAATCAACCTTTGGAAGCTTTTGGGACAGAAATGTGTGTACTGTAGGTATAGTGCATACAAAGTCATATTGGAGTCAAATAAACACAACAAGTCTCTTTTTTTATTCCTGATGATAGACTAAGATCGGCGAAATGGTGGCTCAGTGGTTAGCACTGTCGCTTCACAGCAATAATGTAGCTGGTTCTAGTCCCAGCTGGGTCAGTAGCCATTTTTGTGTGGACTTCATTGTTCATCGTTGCAGTAAACTTCACAACAACTACCTTTTGTAGGGATGGTTTACAGTTTAACCCAAAGAATGACCAGTCTGGTAGATGAAGAAGTGCCGGAGTCACGAAGCCAGCTTCAACACTCGCAATGAGTTCCTAGGCCGCTCTGCTTACAATCACCAATCAATAACAATTATACTCTCACATAACGTCATTAACTGCGTCATACATATAGGTGTTCCAACCTGATTGGTTAAAACACAGATAGACTAGAAAAAATTTCCACGTGGGGTTCGTGCGTACAATTCTGAACAATATCTAAACATAAACGTCAGACATCCTTTAGACTGATTAGAGCTGACTCCAGACCTGTGAAATTGATCAACAATCAAATATAACACACACACACAAAGTATAATCTGTTTCTTATCCAAGGCTGAGTGTACTCTCAGCCGTCTTAATCAAAACTGGTTAAAAACCGGTATAATCTACATTCAGGCAGTTATAATTACTTACTACACAAAGTCTATCTTGAATAAAAAGTAGAATCACTTTAAAAGATTTAACTGTAAAAATAGCAAAATCACTTTAGACATTTTAGACAGTATTTACTCATAGAAATAACAATAGAAACAGTTGCTTCCAGTTCTCAGCCCTCAGTTCCACTCAAGGTCTCCGTGACCTCTGACCTAGTTTGATGGCTTCTGAAAATAGGTATAAAGAGACAGGCAAATGCACTGAACATTCTTATATTAAGCAATGTGTTAACTTATTCAATAATTAAAATCAATTCACAGTTAAATACTGAGAAACAGTATGATGAGAAGGATAAACGTTGGTCCATGATGAGACGGATTGAAAAGCAGAAATCCGAATCTTTCACTTTAATAATCATTACGAAACTTCCTGGTTCGATCTTATAGTCCAGTGCATATTAAGTTTATGCAAAGATGCGATACACATCATGAGGTGCGTATGACATGACTGGAGTGAATGGCATGGCGCAAATTGACTGTTTGGTCGGTTTGCAGTAATGTGTTGTTTGCACAAATCTAAAGTTTTAAAATCTGAACTTTACCGAAAAAGTCATGCCAAGTTAACCAATAAGGAGTTTGTTTTGGAAGCAGCTGTCTCCCAGCCAGGTGCTATAGAGGAGTTGAAGAAACTTTCCAAGCTGGGTGTGCCTCTGAAGGATTTGATGGACTTGACATGACTGTCACATAAAGCAGAGCTACTTTCTCAACAAAATCCATGTCAGTCATTTTGCAATAAAGCTGCAGTGATTTTGCGTATGTTGTGCGGTGAATTCACATGTGGATGAAGCAAACTTTATGCGCAAATGAAGCAAGTCTTGGTCGAGGTCTGGTGTGAACGCTCCATTACTGTGGTAGTTGTGACTGTGGGTCTCCATCATGTCTGAGTTGTCAGCATAAACACATTGTGCTGTGTTTATTATGACATCTCATACTGGGTATCCTCCTTTTGAAGATACAACCTTGAACAGTGGGTGGGGGAACCAGCTCATTTTTGTTTAAAAGCACAGACATAAAGAAGCTACAATTTCCTTGACCCCAAAATTGACATTTTCAAGAGGGTGTAATAAGTGATCTGATGGGTTTTTTGATCTGAAACTTTACAGACACATTCTGGAGATGCAAAAAAACGTGTTTTACATATTGTAAAAAGGGCAGAATTGGTGCCCTTTAATTCCCACATGTGGAGATTTATTAGTTTGCCCGTTGACACTCAGTCTAGATTCATTTTGAAACTAACCCTTATCAGTTCGTAGCTTTCCCCATTAATGTGCTTCATCATGACGTGAGCAGACAATTATGCATAACTACATCCTTGGGACTATAATTAGGCTCCCTCATGGTAGGCATTTGCAAAACCACTGGCAAGAATATATATTCGTTCATTCAGCTAATTTATCACAATCAGAGTATATAACAATGTCTCATCATCACCAATGCTCCGTTGGATATGTGAGACTATGTTAATGCATTCCACACACTCTTCTCGGATCCTGTCTAGATTTTGGAATGTTTCATTTTGCATTCATAATGTTTTTTTTTTTTTTTCATATGTCATTTTTTTTTTCATTTTGCTCAAACATGAGATGATTGTTAACATAGTTTGGTAATATTTCTGTCTTTTTTTGAGGAAAACAGTCTATAAATAAATTTAATGAGTAACATACATGTTGAATACAAAATCCTTAGCCTTCCTTTGAGATATTTTTTTTTCTGTGATGTTTAACATAGCAAGGACATTTTCACACATATATATATTTTTTATTATTTTTTCTTCTGTAGAAAATCTTATTTAAATTATTTTGGCTGGAATAAAAGTATAATTTTAGTTTTTAAAAGTATTTTTAAGGTCAATATTATTAGAAACAAAATAAATAGCTGTTGTCCAGTCATTTGCCTACTTAACCTAATCTGCCAAGTTAAATGAATAACCTTAAGCCTTTAAACTGCACTTTAAGCTACTACAAGTATGTATCTTGCAAAATTACTAACAACTAACCAAATTGTATGTTCTGTCATTGGTTAAAAATTATGATTAAAAGTGTGTTCTCCACATTAAGCAGCATTTGGAAAACATATTAAGAGTAATAAAAAAAATTATAATAACTAAAAAAAAATCTAATAAAAGGTCTAATTGTTGACTTCAGCTGCACATTAATTTCCTGATATCTCAGGACATTTCACGTTGTTTTATTTTTTATAAATAATTGGTCCAGATTAGATTTATTCTAGTCATGTGTGAAAGAGGTTGCATTAGTTCTGTTGACTGGAAAAACGTCCTCATCATTTGTTTCTACAATCACAATTTACTGCATTAAGATGACTACTGTTCATTTGTTTACTAACTCAGAATTACCAAAACACAGGAAAACATGTTTCACTGACCCGTCTAATGGCATTTAACTGTAATTTAAATATGTTTGGATATTCAAATCACATTCTGGGGATGTGAGTCTTCCTTACTTCTCTTATAAACAATGTGAAATAGAGCAGATTAATTCAATTACTCTTAACTTAGTGCTCATTTAATTGACTATTCCATTCCGTGACGATAAGTCAAAGCTTTTTGTCTTATAAACGTTTGTTTATATAAGACCGAACATATGAAGCATTTAATTGCCACAAATTTTCCTATTAAATAAGTCTTGTCACATATAATTGTAAGGGCCCATTAACAACAAAGGCCAATAGTGATTACAATAATTATTTCATTATTTACAAATGATTCAATCAGGATTTAGTAGTTTTAAAAGGCTACAAATAGAAGGCAAAAAAGACCAATATAGATTAAAATTTTAGACATTAAACTGAATTCTTTGATGAATACTATTTATGTATATATTTTTTTAGTAGTAGTTAAGGATATCTACTGGTTATATCCACATAATTGCAACAACAACAACTGAAATTAGATGTCATGATTCTTTCAATTCCTCTCCACTTTAAAGCATCTTATCTACACAAAAGCATCTGATTTTTAAAAAACGTTCTTTGTACTGGCCTTACATCATATAGTAGAATGTTTGCATCCAAACATCTTACAAGACAACTTTAATCCAAGGCTTTTTGTGTTTTTCCATCTTTCGAGATCAAAATCTACATAGTGTTGACTTCACAGGTTGTGACGTGGCAGTAGACCACAGTAACCGATGACAAGATGGTGTGTAATTCTATTCATGAGACTGTATGTTCTTCTCATATTTAGATTACATTACATTTTCCCACTTTGGTATTTGATATTCTTCTTTGTTGGACTTTTTGGAGATCAAAAACAGAAAAGCTGATTTTAGGATTTCCCTCTCCTTGCTTTTTTATCTCTCTTCACCTGCATGTGAAAGTTCCCTTTGTTTAGCTTCCATCCCATTTTCACGGAGGCCAAAGGCAGATTTACTGATGGATCTCCTGCATATTCTACATAACTAACCCAGTGAGATAAGATACAAAATAAAAAATTGCATGGGATAACAATCAATTTAAAAAATGTCATCTCAATCTGTAGCTGACATTCAATCAGTTTCTTGTTATTTCCTCCTCTCACATCAAGCTCAGGCCAGGTTTGGAAAAAAATATATATATACTTTGCTTATTTAAAAAAGAAAGTTCTCTGATTCTGACCGCCTCTTTTTGTTTGTAAAGAAGCAAATAATTTCTTCTGAAAAAAAAAAAAAACACAAAATATTTTAGAGTGTGTATTATGAAATACTGAGGCATTTTAATGAGCGTTCATTAATTTAATTTCTTAAATATATATTTCAAGGGACACATTATCCATGTTCAATTAACAAATGGAAATAATCTAAGCAGTAAAAGGTCAATAATAACTTAATCTAAATTCATGTTTTTAATCACTATTTACAAAAAAAGGACATTAACCAATAGCATTAAACTTTCTTAAGAAACAAAACAAAAAACATACATACAAAAGCTTTACAGCTTTACAATGGATTCTGCTGGGATCACTGCAACTGGAAATATATGTTATGTTTCTGGATTCACACATTTCATAAAAAAAGTGTATTCTGATATGATTGTATTTTAACTGCAGATCAGTGTGATCTTCGGTAACAGACAGATCTTCATATTTTGGCTTAATTAAAACATTTTCATTTTGAGTTAGGTGGAGGTCTGAGGGTTCGGTTTGCGGGACAGTTTTGGGCTTTTAGTGGCCTTGCGTGAAATTTGGGGACTGGAGGAATTGTCTGCAGTTCTCCGTTGTAGCAGCGGGCTGCTGGAGCCCTTGGATCGAGGTGGAGTCTGAAGGGTTTCTGGGGTTTTGAGAGATCTGAGGTTTAAGAGTCCACAGAAGTAATTACACTGATGCTGAATCTGGAACTGCTCAAAAACCCGTAGATTAGCTTCACAGGGAAAACCCTGATACCTGTGTCAAAGGAAAACAACATGAAAGCATCGTGAAATCACACCATAATATCAAAGCTTTTCAATATACTGTATATAATGTTTAAATTATTTTTAATAATGTTTAAAAACAATTTAAAATATTTTAATGTGTATGAAATAATGTTTTTTGTGTGTCTTTTAGTCTTTCATGTGCACCAAAACAGCATTTATTTGATCAGTGAGTTATGAAAAGTAGTAATTTCGACTTAAAGACTTATTTCTCCCAAAAGTTATCAAGACAATGTACAATGTATTTCTCAGCTTTTATTTACATATGAACAAAATCTTAAGTCAGAATTTGCCAGGGGGGTGAATAATTTCGAGCTTGACTTTATATTTGTAGGAAAAGCCAAAATGACAAACTTTGGCAGATCCATTGATAAATGCATTCTCAAGAAGGTGTAGAAAAAATTGTATGCAACTGCAAGAACAAGTAAACGATGTCTGCATAAGTGATATTATTATTCTTAAAAACCTTGAAATGTCACGTTCTGATTGGTCAGACGTTCTGACTGACCAATCAGAATCAAGTATCTTTACAAGCCATTTCAGATAAATCAATCTAAATGTATATTTGTCATATTTATCACCTCATCTGTCAACATATTGCAGAGTTTGTTTGAACATATCCTTATTATTTTGATCAGATGCTTTCTTAGCTGAAATTTCTGTTGTTTATTCAATCCGACTTTTAAAAGTACTACAGTAACACATACTCACCCCTTTGACCTGACTGCTACTCCAATGTTTGTCAGTATTGTGTCAACTCCTGCAGCATATTAAAAAAACAAAAAAATCATTTTCAACTAAAACTAGCTATAAACCATGCAGAATAATTAGACTGGTATAATAATTTTACCCTCAAGTCTTGAGAACAGCACATTTCCGCTGGTCCACTGGTGGATCCAGTGCTGGAGAGATGAGCACTTTTGTCCCACCTCTGACTTCTCATTGATTACCAGTGATCCACTGCGATCCAATCCACAATATCGCACATAGACCCCTTTAAGCTCTGCCTCCACTGTTGCATAAGGAACACTGCTTGCTGGCCAGTACGTGAAGTAGAGAGGAATTACCCTGAAAAATAGACATAGTGACAGTGACAAAACATGACGTGGAATCAACTAGTATCCTACTGTATGCTCTTTGACCTTGATGTACTGTGATAAAACAATATCATTGCTGAGGCTACACTGTTAACAATTTCCTGTAAAATCTACAGTAACTTACTTGCAGCGGTTCGCCAGTAACTTACTGTAAATCAATTACAGCAAAAGCACTGTATTTACATTCACAGCACCATTTATCATGCTCTATACGTATTTAGAGTATAACGTATGTGTATCTTTGCTGTAAATTATACAGTAATTTTCACAATGCAACTTTAAAACTTGTTTTATTTGTTTATTTAGCAGGGACAGTGTACATTAAATTAGCATTTCTGCAAATGCACCAGAAATAGCCAGAAGGCTATTTTTCATCTGTTGTCCCTGAAACAGCCTAAAAAACAATACAAGAATTATACAATCAATCAAACAGAGTTAAGAAGTACTAAAATAGACATAGTTATGTAGATATTAATAAAAAATGAATATATTTATATACAAATTAAACTAAAACACCGACATTTTGTAATAGAGATAACAATAGTTGACTGACACATTTAAAGAACAGATCATTAAGAGGCACAAATGGAAACATGCTAGGTTCATTCTAATAAAGATGATGACACGTCTGATTCTCTACAAACCAGATTTTTAAATGTTTTTTGAATATATTAAAGGAGGTTATATCTCTGATGCTGCCAGCGATAGAATTCCGCTCTTGTGCAGCTGTAACTGAAAAGGCACCCTGACCAAAGGTACTTTTCCAGAGTGGGACAATACAGTCTCCTCGGGCTGCCCCCCGTGTTGCTCTGTGTGTGGTGTTCCTGATGTTTACAAACTGACTGAGAGGTGGGGATGACAGACCATGAATGATTGTATGCAACAGACAAATGCTTGAATACCTAATGACAATTTTACAAAATAACAATTTATCTTTTTGTAAAACGTTACAATGATGATGTCTTCGAGGCTTTTTATCCAGTATTTTATTTGTCTGTTTGTTAAGTGACTCTGGGTTTTAGTGATGTTTTGTTTGCCTGTGACCAGGTTGTTAGACAGTAGGTTATATGTAAAATAATCATTAAATGCATGAATATTTTAACTGCCGGCCGTGATAAATGTGACCTTATGAACCGGAAATTAGATATATTAAATTTAACACGGTTACATACCTTTTTAATTTGTGATTTAAAAGTTAATTTTGAGTCAATTTGGACCCCAAGATATTTAAAGTGAGTAACAATTCAGTAACATACTGCATATTTGTCCTACAGTAAAATACAGTTCATATATACAGTTAAATATTGTGTAATTTACAAAAATAGTGTAGAGAAAAACAAATCTGGCTTACTCCAGCACTCCACCAAAGCTCTCTATCACCCTCGTTTCTGCAGCAAAGATTTTGAAATACTCTCTGGCCATGTTCTGAATCCGACACTCCTATAAATAACAAGCATGTTAGTAAAAAGTTTGAAAATGTTTGAAATTTACCATTTCAAAAACCTTCTGTCACCTGTTTTGTGATTTGGAGATTCCTTTCAGCCAAAACTATCTCCTCTCTGCTCTCATATGCAATTGGGTTCCGCACTTTCATAAAACACGAGCTGCCTGACTCAAACACAGGATCTAACCCATAGATGACTTTCAGGCGTCTGGTTTTGTGTTCGCATCCCAGTCCAACCTGAGCTTCTTCTGTTGTGACGCGGCCATAAAACTTTGAGCCCCAGCCGCCTGCATCGGAAAGACCTTTACTGAAGATTAGTGGAGTCATCTCAATCTCCTCCCCAACTGCGTATGAGATAGAGAGAAATGGTAAAAGAGACAAAGAGATTTATTGTGTATATTCACAGAGTGAGTGCAAAAAAGAAGACTGAAAAGCACTATGCAGTTTTTATTACCTTCCTGGTGCTCCTCACGCACAAACATATTAGAAAGAACTGTCAAGATGTAACAGACAACAGAATTTTTTTTTAAACTTCTGCTCTAAAAAATCTGAAAGAACTGTTTCTAATTGGTATTTTACACACAGTAGAAAGATAAGAAGAACATATATTACATTCTGTGCTGAGATGGTACTCTGTGGAGTCTTTGCCATATTCGTTGGTAATGGTGCATCTGTAGACTCCACTGTCTCTTTTGGACATCTTTATAATAGCTAAGCACACTTGAGCCTCATCTCCTGCACTAGAACAAAAAACAAAACAATATACCAGCTGAGTACATCGATATGTTCAGCTTTACAATAATACACCTCTTGTTATTGAACAACTAGCCTTTGTGATATGTAAAATTTTTACATTAAAATACATAAAACTAGCTTTTATTTGAGGTTAATGGAATAATACACCCTATTTTCTTTTTTTTTTCATTAATAAGTATATAATTTGCCTACTTTTTTATTTAAATATGCTGTTGTCACTATTATAGTGGTATGCAGGTTTGCACTGTATGTCACACATCTCACTCATTAGAGTCAATTGTACATGTAAATTAGACTAGGATACGCAGTTGTAGCTGATGTTTCTCATTGGTCATGATGAACAGGGAAAAACATGGCAAATGTCTAGGCATTTTTTGTTGAAGTTATCCATTTTGAATTTTGTCCTATTATTGAACAATCTATTAAAATAAATGTATTTCAATTAGGCAATAGTCATACTCATGGCAACAGATTGTTCCTATAAGTCTTTTGGAACTGAATTACTAAGAGAAAAGATTTTTGAGTATTTTGATATCCTAAGATTGTTTTTTTTTTTAATTAGACTAGTGATTTACACAAATTCTTGCACATTTTTAACTGGTCTAGTAATTTATACAGATTGCATTACATTTTGTTTGCTTCCAAGGACAGCTCCATACAAAGATGTTTTCTTGGTATGATATCAGACATAAGTTTCCCCATATTTACTGCAAATTAATAACCCATAGTTAATTATTAATTAATTTTAGATTGATAGACTCAAATACATCAGAACACAGTAATCAACATTATTTTCTGCGGGACACCACTAGGGGTCAGTAAAACTCTAGGAAGGTTTTATTTTTTATTTTTATTGCATTATAACACAATTACAATGAGGCAAAATTCGAATAACAACTTTCATCTACATTTATAGAACAGAGCACAAATAATAAAATCAATAAAATAGTAATACAAAAAGATACACTTAAACAATAGAATAGACACAGAAACACAACTACACTTACACCGGGTCTTCTATTAATTTAAATTTATTTCAATAAACTATACAGTCTTCTTCCACATTTTGATTGTATCAACTTTAAAGATTTACTTTATGGCCAAAAATTCATTTTACTAAAAATAGTGGTTTTGTTTTAGGGCACTTGCATTTATGAATATAAAATTTCCTCAAAATTAGAATATTGTTCAATACAAATTGAATATTAACATCTTTTCCCTAATAAACCAAAGAAAATATTATTTTTAGAAAATAGGGAGGACAACTTGAGAGAATCCTTTAATCACTCGAATGACTCAGACCAAAAGGTTCTGCTATTAAACATTCAGAAAATAAATGTGCAGTCGTTTCAATGTCAACCTCACAGAATGTATAATTGTTGTGAACAAAATGAAATCTATGTATAAGAAACTCTGAAGATGGGTAAATATCATGATTTTTTTTAAATGTACTTCTTTAGCTTTGAGAGGTATTGGAAAAACTCTAGGAGGGTGTACATTACCTTCTTTTTATTTCAGCGATCTCCACTTCATCCTTGAACCACCTTATGGTTGAGTCACTTACTATGTTGAAAAACTGACACCAGAGTTTCAGATGTCCAGAGGCATCAAACACCTCTGGTCGGATTTTGCGGATAACCTGAGGAACTGCAGGCAAGTGTAAAGAAGTAGATATATAAGACAAAACAAAACTCTAAAACAAAACAAAGCACCATGACTACGAGTTTGATACACAAGGAATGCAAGGTGCGCCCAAAATGCCTGAATGTAAATTTAGCAAAATTTGACTTGATTTATGGCTGTTTGTCACATTATTGTATGTGTTTTTAAGTATTCAAGCATGCTGTTAAAGGGGTATTTGCACACAGACTTTTAATTTCAGTCAGCCAGCCACAGGTCTTCTGGTGAATTCCCATACAAAATCGCTGCGTCTGATTTCTTTAAAAAAAACAGCCATCTTCTCTTCCTGGCTGAGAAAAACCACAGTATTAAATAATATTTTTCTGCACCATGTCTTTAAAATATAGAAATACATTTTACCCCAGTATTTTCAATGAAATTTTTGCACTCGCCTAATGATGGCGCCTGTGTTTGATCGGTCTTTCAAATCTTTAACATTTGAACAACTAAATTAATGTTTAAGTCTGTTTAACTAATTGTATTTTAATAACATTACAACATCTATGCTGAAAAAGAAGCTTATGAAATTGAAAATAGTCACTTAAACCTTTCACCAGAAGTTCATTATTGGCTGAAAAACACAAGCATTTGCAAGCATTATTGATCAGAGAATTCTGCTCTTCTATCAGTTGTGAACTATTGTTTACAGTGATTTTTATAGCCTCACTGCTGTAAGTGTGTGTTCAGCATCTATTCCATCCCATCTTTACCTTTGAACTGATTTTCTTTGTCTTTCTCTGTTGATTTAGGCTTGCCGTTCTCAATTCCCACAGGTTTTGGCTGGTCATTCAGGACAGTCCTCCTGGTGAGGCGAGGGGACTGCGTTTCTAATGATGTCATCAGTGGTGAGATACTGACTGATTGTGATGTAGATGCAGGTTGTGATTTCAATTTGTCCCCCTGAAATGTATCCATATTTGCTTCTTCAATAAATTTGGCCATTCCTGTTTCACTTTTGTCTGTTTTAATCTTGGGGAATGATGTGGTTTGATCTGTGCTGGTGGTAAGTTCACTCTGGGTAGAGTTGAACACCCGATTGCCTGTATTATTCAATGGGATTGTAACTTTGCAAGTTTCAGTGTGTACTTCTGCAGAACTGACTTCTTCCTCACGTTCATTGTTGTCTTTATAGTTTGTATGAGGTGCTGCGGTGAACGTAGAACATCGGTTTGACACCTCAAGCTCAAATGCAGCTGACCTCAATAGTTTTATGAAGGAGCCAGGATCAGTTTTAAACGTAAGATCTGTTTTTGTAAGATCACTGGTTTCAGTTAAATCAGATTCGTTTGACTTGATGCATCTGTCAGCATTTGGATTTTGGATAGTGTCGTCTTTTTGTGTGGTAAAGTCTGATGCAATCTTTTCAGAGGAACGATGATTTAATAATACTTGAATTGGATTTTCTTGACTTAGTAGTGGTTGATCAGGCTTGTTGACTTCGGAGACTTGTGAATTCTGGGACAGATCAAACTTCTCATTACGCAGACTTTTAGATTGAATAACGGCTGTGGTTTTGTTAATGCTGTCTGTGCGATTGGAAGTATTTGTCACATTAGAGGTTACTGCATTTACTTCAGTTCTCATTTCAACATTGCTATTTTGAGATGTGCTATCTACATCTGTAATATATATTGCAGGAATGGTAAATTCTGTGGCTGAAGCTTTTGAATGTTGGGAGAGGAATGTAGAGGGTCCAGAATGATCATTAGCTTTTTGTATAGGGTAACTTTGTATCTCATAATAAGTTTTTTGGGGTGCTTCAGATGTGGTTGCATTAGACTGTTCCTTTATGTTCATTTTAACAACATTGTCTGTAGCTATAAGAGAAGATCTCTGACGTTCTCTGTCATTAGTTTCTTTGATTGAAGACCCATTCATGGTCTGTTGTTGAATTACATCTGAGCAAATTTGTGCAGATTCTGCAGCAAAGTCTTTAATAGTGGAATGGTTTGATTTCGCTGTCGACTTCTCTTTAGAAGTGCTGCTCTGCACATTTGAGTTGATCTCATTTTCTTCCATATTTTGTTGAGATGCAGGTCTTGTTTCACTATTGGGTTTATCTGACTCTTTAATGAGTTGGTTTTCAGCTTTGCTTTCCTTCTTACAAGTGTTGGTTAATGTTTCATCTCCTAATGAGGGACTCATTGCTGTGGGAACTTGGCCATTTTGGAGCTTGATTGAAACATGACCTGAAGAGATTTTGTCACTCGGCTGAGTGTTTTGAGGCCCAGTGACAAGTGTATTGCGCTTTGTTGATGCCGCAGACGGGTCACCTGCTGTCAGCTTCTGTTCCTGTAATGCACTGGCACTGGCATTGGCACTTGCAGTGGCCTGGCACATTAATGTGGGTTGCTCTTTTAACTCCTTGGCTACTTCCTTATGAGTTAGAACATCTTCATGAGTTAGTGGCTCTGTGGGCTTGGTTTGAGTATCAGCTACAACCTGAAATCATAAAAGTATATTTTTATTTTTAGAAACTTTAAGGGAATAGTTTGGCCAACATTGAAAACTCTATGAAAGTTTAATAAGACAAAAGAATGTTTCTATTTGAAGACTATATTCCATCTGCTTGTTAAGTGTGTGTGACGTCATGCGAAGTGGTTTCCAGATGCAAGCGCTCTATCAAACTGTATGGGGAGACTCAACCGATGATAATAATAAACGTTTACAAAGAGATACTACTTTTGAAAATCCCAATCATAATATATAAATGGGGAGTTTGAGCTAGGGTTCTTAGAAAGGAAGGAGGAGTAGGGGTGGATGTAGGGATACTTCAAAACGAAGATACCATGTAAGATATTATGGTTATTTGAACTTGGAATTGACTGATTGGTGGATTGTGTATTAGCTAATGCTGGACCAGCCTGTCTTCAATCATAATTTTACAGTTAAACTATTGTCATTTATTTTTAAACATTTTAAAATGTAAATTATTACTGTCATACATCATTTTCAGCATGATTATCTTCATTGTCATATGACCCATCAAATATCATTGCACTGTGCTGATTTGATTTAGGGCTGGACGAATAATCGAAAAGTAATCAAAATCGACATTCAAAACCTATAATCCACAAAATTTTTCCAGGTCGATTTTTTTCAATTACTTTTCCTACTGCATTTGGAGTCACATGACCCCACTCTGTTAAGCCTTTAAGACACCATTTTTTCCTTTATAATAAAATTATTATTTACAGTAAAATATTTGTTTACAGAAGATGCAAAAAATGCAGGAGTTATTTTATCTAGAAGAGATCCTGTTATTTTTTTGTTTTTTACTTTTAATAAGAAAAACATTAAAAATATATTTTTTCCAAAAGTGAAAGCTATTTATTTATTTATGAGTAAAAAGGTAACTATTTGTTTTAGGTAATGTGTGTTTTAATTTCCATTGTTCAGCATTAATGTCCAATAAATAATCAAAGATAATAGATAGTGTGTGTTTACTTTTCCTACTGCATTTGGAGTCACATGAGTTTCAGATGTTCAATAAAGTTATAAAATTCAAAATTCTAATTCAAAATAAGAAATTAAAATTCCAAACAATTTTTAACGGAATACAGATATTCAGAATTATGCAGTTGCAATTGTCAGTAATTCAGTTTAACACAATTCACATTCAGATTGTTTTGGCATATTATTAGCTCCATATATGTGAAGGCTGCGCCGTCCGTTCACATGCATGCGCTTGGCAGAAGTATAATCGCCCACGCCTAGTTCCACTTACTTAAGTAGTAGTTTGCCCAAAATTGAAAATTCTGTACCAAACAGAAACTGGTTGTACCCAACCAGTTTGAGCTTCTTCTTCTTTTTGTCAAACACAAAAGAAAAACAAAGATATTTCTCATACAACATGATTAAACCAGATGCTCTGTTTCTGCTGCACTGTAATAATGCCAGATCCCCGACCACTGTAAATCTGCAGGGAGATTTTGCTTCTTAGCACTTGAGTCATTAATCTAAAATCAACAGAACATTGTGTTAGCAGAACATCTTCAATATTAGCACTTGATTATCTCTCGTTTATCTAGGATAAAAGAAAGAAACATACAAAATAAGGGGATTCAGCTGTACTTTGTTTGACACACCCAGGTATTACATAATCCAAATGCTCTATAGTAATTATATGATTATTACAAGTTAGAAAGGGAAGCCACCTGTTTTCGGTTGACCAAGTCTGTCTGAGCTTCTTATTTAGCATCCATTGCCTTGGGGAAGCTGTTGCACTGGCCATATTTAGAGAGTATTTTAAGGCTTTATGAGATCAGAGGGGAATGTGGGATATTAAAAGGAGAGCAGCTGGCCTGTCCACAGCACCTACAGCCTGCACAGTAAACTCGTATTTTTGCATCTGCTTTTAACACGTCATGGGACAACAGGTGATCGGAGACAGCAAACATATGTGATGGATCTCAAGATCAATATACTTTTGTGTTCCCTGAAGCCACAGCGTGCATAGGGGAATACTATTATTGTCTGTGACTCTACTTGTGTGTCATTTCAGATGGGTCTTGTCACATCATCAAAGTTGTGCTTGCGGCTCTATTTATAGTTTATGATTGTGGCTAAGGAGGGGGGATACTGGACTCACTATCACTGGGAACATTACACCCGCATGAGGTCACGGCCAGAGCATGAGGAAACACTCACCGAGCCCCGAAGAGGGCGTCCAGATACATTCCTCTCCCCTGTGTCCACATTGACGTCATTCCCGCCACAAGAATGAGGCAAGATCTTCACTCGTGTACCTACTTGGTTTCTATTTCTGTGGTCATCAAAGTCAACGTGCTTGTTGTCTGCATGTCTTAGATTGCCATTCTCTAGTGATTCTTGAAGTTGCGTGTCAGATGATTTAGTTGGGTTTGGATTTTCGACAACCTTGTTTATCTGGTTTGTTGTGGAAGTCTTCAGCAAAGTGTTATTCTGAGTTGGAATGGGTTTTAGGACTTTCTTTGATTCTGAGGCACTTTCTTTGATTGTCTCTGGCTGTTTTTCATTTGTTTTTGTGTCTATTATGTCCACTTTTGTTTTAGATTTGAACACTGATGTTTCTGAAGCCCCTTGAAATTTCTTTGATTGTCCGTAAAGCTGTTTTTTTGGGTTCACAGAATGTTTTTCACCAGTTTTTGTTTTTGTTATGTCCACTTTGGCTTTTGATTCAGTCACCGATGTTTCTGAAGCACCCTGAACTGTCTTTGATTCTCCATAACCCCGTTTGTTTGTGCTCACAGACTGTTTTTCAGTTGTTTTTGTGTCTATTATGTCCACTTTGGTTTCAGATTCAAACACTGATGTTTCTGGAGACCCTTGAAATTTCTTTGATTGTCCAAAAACCTGTTTGATTGGGTTCACAGAATGTTTTTCACTGATTTTTGTGTTTGTTTTGTCCATTTTGGCTTTGGCAGACACTGAGGCTCCCGGAGCTTCTTGAGCTTTATTTGATACTTTGGAAACATTTTCATCTGTATATACTGACTGTTTTTCACTCTTTATTGTGTCTTTTACATCCATTTTGGCTTTTGATTCAATCACTGAGGCGATCTTTGCATCTTGAGCATTTTTTGATTCTTCTGTGACACTTGTTTTTGTATTTGTGTTTGCTGACAATTTGTCACTCTTTCTTGTGTCTGTGATGTTCACTTTGTTTCCATGTTCCATCGCTGAGGTGATCTTAGCACTCTGACTTATCTCTAACTCTTCTGAGGCACATTTGTTTACTTTTACTGGTGTTTCTTCAGTTGTTTTTGTGACTTTACTGAGCATTTTGTTTCTAGATTCGGTCACTGAGGCCATCTGAGCACCTTGAGCTCTCTTTGATTCTTCTGAAACACTTTTGTTTGTGTTCACAGATGGATTTTCAGTCTGTTTTATGTCAGTTTTGTCCATTATGTTTCGAGATGAAGTCATTGGAACATCCTGAACTTTCTTTAACTCTTCTGATACACTTTTGTTCAATTTCTCTGTAAGTTTCTCAGTTGTTTTTCTTTCTGTTATGTCCGTTTTGTTTTTAGGTTCAATTGCTGAGGCAATCTGAGTTCTCTTTAATTCCTCTGACGCATTATTGTTCACTTTAACTGCAGTTTTTTCATAGATTTTTGTGTTTGTTACATCATTTTTGCTTTTTGTTTCAGTCTCCGGGGTCATCTGAACATCACTGGCTGTCTTTAATTCTCTCAAGGCACTTTTGTTCAACATTACTAACTGTTTTTCAGTTGTCTTTGTTTTTGCTATCACTGTTTTGTTCCTAGATTCTGTCACCGAGCTGTTGAGAGCACCTCTCTTTGATTGTTCGATAGCAGTTTTATTCACTTTTAACGACTCTTCTTCAGTTTTCTTTCTGTTAGTTATATCTATTTTGTTTCTTGATTTAATCGTTGAGGCAATTTGAGCTCCCTGAGCTTTCTTTGTTTCTTCAGAGCCATCTATGTCAGCTTTTACCAACAGATTTTCTTTCTGTTTTATGTCTGTTATGTCCATTTTGTTTCTTTGTTCAGTCTCTGAAACCATCTGTACCTCTGTCTCCTTAACGGATGTCCCACTCTCAATCACCATCTCTTCCCTTCTTCCATTTGGTCTATTTTCCTTTCTTCTCTCAGTTGAGATTTTGACCTTCTTCTTAACATGTTCATTAATCTGTTCACTTGTGGCATTGTTTACAGTATCATGGATATACGTTAGCTGTTGTCTGTCTTTTTCTCTGTTTGTGATCTCTTCAGAATTCGAGATGCCATGAGGCACTGCTGCTGACTCTTGATTAGGAGCACTGAGTCTGTCCCCTAATGAAGGTGTTTGACCGAGAGCGTCCACCTCCACCCCTCTATTCTCTGAAGGACTGTGAGCTTCACAATTTGGCTGTACTCTTTCAGGGCTGCTCATCCTGATGTGCTCAGAGGATGCTGGGACAGTTTCTATACCTGTTCTTTGAGTCTCCTCCTGTTCACGGCGGCGGTTCTCATTTCGCAGCTTAAGCTTTGCAAAATAATTTTGATGAATCTTGTACTCGCTCATTGTTCCCACTTCCAACACTCCTGAACAGGATACGATGCCTCGACTGTTCTGTGCTGAAGCTTGGTAAATTGCAGCATCATCCAGAGAGCAGCTACAACAAAAATAAGCTCTGTAAATGTTAGGAATTAGTGATATTTTATCATTTTCAATATAACAGTACCAATTTTCAGGATAAAAAAAACGTATCGTAATAATAACAGTAAAATATGCAATAAATTTGTGCAGTGATTTATTAAGGTAGCACAATACAATTTTATATTTATGAGCTTGTTTACAAACAGATTTAGTGATATATTTTTTATTTTAAATTCACTTTGTAACATCAGACACGAGTTTTAAATCACTCCTTTTTGATCAATATATATTTTATACATCAATATACTATATGTTTTTTAAATACCCAGGAAGGCTTGAAGAACTGAAATAACACATATATTGCAACAAATTATGTTTATTGTGTTCCTGTTTGATATATTTATCTGTTTCTATCATCTTTATCTTTTTTGCTCTGCAGCAGTGATCTATATGTGGAGATTATGCGAGAGGACGCCCTCCAGCGTCCAGTATGAATTAAACAGAAATAACATTATAGTGTGTTATCACACTATTTCAGAAAACTCTGCTTTTGGAGACTATGGAGCCAGATCAGTCTCAAAAATAACACATTTGCATCAAGTGTGCCGCAAGCCTGCGTTTGAGTGAAGGTCTCGGCCGTTAGATCGCCCCCTGGGGGCTGGCTGCAGTACAAGTCATAAAGCCCGCCTCCTCCGAGACTTGAGCCCAAATAAAAAATTAATTACACTTGCAATAAAATGTCTCGAAAGATGGTTCTGGTCGATTAAGGCACTGATTATTGTGCTGAAATAGGTGCAGATCTTCATTTTTGTAAAAAGTTTGTTTTTAGCAGTAATTTAATGCTGGGCGTGTCATCGTGATTGACAGCTGTGATTGACAGTTTCTCAAAGCAGCGCGTCTGAGCTTCGGCAGGAGACTGAAGTGTTATTATTCGATTTCTGTGTTACTTTACCATGACAAAATGAGTTCAGCAGTAAAGTACAGTTTCTGACATACATGATCCTGGTGGAACACTGTTTATTCGCTAAGGTCAGGACATTTTTTCGGGCTTTATTAGTTTGCTGATACACGCCTAGCCACCCAGATAGCAAAATACACTCGGGCCAGTAGACTTACTCAGACTGACTACCTCTGCTGGACATACTCCGGATGCCTGGACTCACTGCCCAATTCCAGCCCGAGTCAATTGAGCCAGATGCGGCGGCCGAGCGAGCTGGCACTACCGCATGCTAGCCGGAATCAGCCTGCGACGCCGCGAGTAGGTTATGCGCTGCGGCCGGAGCTGGCGCGATTGAATCTTCATTATATAAAACCCTCACATTTGTTTACGTTATTACATCCATGTGTTGATATGACAGCAAACGCAGGCTATATGTAAACGCAAAGTGTAGCACTGAGTTTAACCTTTGAATAAAAATGCAAACAGCATACATCGCAAATATTCAAATAAAGGAAAAAATAAATAACAATAAACCTGTATTGATTGCACAAGTATTAAATAATAATACAATTGAATAAATTTTGTAGTGCACAAGGAAATATAAAAATGACAATAAAACTGCACAATAAAATAAACTAATTTAAGTACGGGGAAAATACAGGAGATCGTTAGCAGTAATTCTCTTTATGTGTCTAAAATAATAATCTCCACGTTAATCTCCTGTAAGGTTATTTGAACTTGCTTTACAGGACGTCTCTGCATTTTTCGGCATGTTATTAAGTAATCTACTGAATTTGCTCTTATAAAACATTATTGAAACCGAATCTTAGCCTAATAGAGCTGTAAATGTTAGATATTATTTACATCATTTACTGTTGCCGTTTTATTTGAAAACTCCAACTAAACATTAAAATGAATGTAAATTCCTCGTTGTCAGATATAATGAAGGCATCGAATAAACCAAATGAAAATGGAGGCAAAAAATTAAATAAACAATTCAAGCGAAAATCAATAAACAATATACTACCGATGTTGCAGCACATTTTATTAATACTGCAAAGTTCTTTTTTGCACAAATGGACAAATTGCAGGGTTGGGATGTGTAAATATCCGTTTGATATTTAGAAATCTTGCTGTAGCCTATTTAAACGCATGATTGTTCCCGCATGGTAAATCGTTGTGGTGTGTAGGCTATATTTTGGGTTCTGTTGATGGCTAATTAAAAATAAAAACCTTTCTAAAAATGTACGTGTTGTTTATATGTTATTGTTCATATTTTACTAGTGTTTTTTCTACCCCTATGAAGATAACAAATTCCAACAACAAATATAACAATAAGAGAATATATTATTTGTGCTGATATTCAGGCTAGAGTGTAGAAAAGATTATTTCTGCAGTCCACCATGTATTGCTTTGATTAAAATTTAACAGCTTACATCACGCCGTTTTTAAACCGTATATTATTCTGTATTTTTAAATGTAAGTGCTTCTTTTTACATCAGCGAGCGTTTGTTATAGTGCAGACACCGGCAGTGAAGTGAGCAGTTTGGGGGGGGTGGTTGATTTTACATAAAGCGTTTGGTTGGAAGCTCGACTCCGCTCATTATCGCGGCTCCTCCTCTGGCTCCATCAGACAGTCCTTCTGCGCATGTCAAGGCTCCAATTTCAGCAGTCTTTTGCGACAGTTTGTGCCCGTCAAGCAGGTGTTTTGCCCTGAAGGCATTCAATGGGAAAAGGGGCTGTCGCGTCGTCCATATTTTTTACAGTCATTGATTTGCATTCATAAAATGTATAAATTCTCAGCACATTTCAGAAATCCACAACACCAATTCATCAATTCAAAAGTAAAAAGCAAAAATATTTCCCAAATGCTGACAGATATGCATCTTATCTTAATACATTTAAAATGTTTACACAATTATGTATATATAAAGTTCTTGGATTACTTTCCTCGTACATTTACTAATTATGTTAGATCTGTTTATGAACCACTAAATGTGCATTTGAAAATGCTCACAGGAGGAGGAGTCCTTTGAGTTTGTGTGTGGTATTTTTTAGACCTTCCTGGCAGGACATGATTCATACATCTATTTTTTGGAAAATATTCTGTTTAGCCAATCGTGGTTAGTTTTTAATCCACCAATTAAAAAGCTCCTTACTAAACAAGCTCAAAAAGCTCCACCATTTAATCATTATTATTATATATAAAATAATTTGTTTTAGCTGTAACATTAAACATTTGTAATTAAAATAATATCATAGTAAGGTGTTTTAAGCAATTTTATCTCAACAGACTTGCAGAAATATTTAGACACGTCTAACATAATTCATAAATGTACAAGGAAAGTAATCCAAGAACGTCATATATACATAATTGTGTAAACATTTTATTTGTATTTAGGGAAGATGCATATGAGTAAGCATTTGAGAAATATTTTTGCTTTTTACATTTGAATTGATGAGGTGTGTTATGAACTGAAGTTGTGGATTTATTAATTGAGCTGTGATTTTTAAAATGTTATGAATGCAAATGTATTATTTTTGAGACTGATCTGGCTTCATGAGTGACCCAATCTTCTGCAAAGTTTATTTTCTGTCTGGTCCTGAAAAGCTTCCTGAATAGCTGCTTGGGTGTGTTTGATTATGGTTATATGGTTGGCCTCTGTTGTATAGTAGGCCAGTATATCCAGGAGCAGGGTTGAATACAATATATATATATATATATATATATATATATATATATATATATATATATATATATATATATATATATATATTCTTTCAGGGGATTTCTAAATTTATTTATCTCAGAAGGTACTTATAAAATATATTGTCATTAATATTATTATTGCAATGAATACCAGAAATATATCATAATATCTCATATCGCCCATCCCTAATAAAAGTATACTACTAAATCCTAAACAACATTTTATTTTGTTATTTTGAGAAAAATGTTTCTCAGAAAAGAGCATACTTGTATATTTGGAGTGTGTGTGTCTTGTCATCACGTGAAATTTCATATTTGGGCAGGCCGCAGTATCTGTCCAGCTGGATGTCGTCTTTGTACCATGTTACCTCAGGAACTGGGTAGCCTGCAAATGTGATGGGTAAAAGCCAAGAACTTAAGATTTAGAGATTTTTCTGTCATAATATACATTGATTTCAGTTTTTGCTTTTGTACCTGAAACCACACAGCTGAACTTGACATTAGTCTCTTCAGACACTGCTTTGGATTTTAAGGTGGACTCAAATGTTGGCTGTATCTCTTCGGTTAATTGAGCCATGACACTGCACAGAGTGCTCCTAGAATGGATGTAAATATTGTAGATGATCTGAGGCTATTTGCAAAGAAATTTTTCATGATCATCAGCACCGCACTGAAATCACAGTGAGGATTGTTAGCATTAATGGCATGCAAAAATATATTTGTGTTTATACTGGATAACATTCAAATTCTAATTGTCGTGTTCATTGTTAGTTAAATTAGCTTAGTAGGTGTTGTGAGACTGCAATTCAAGGTATTATGATGTAACGGAAACATTAATGCCCTTACAAGTATTATCTAATATAGTGACATCAGAAATTGATTGTTTCTTTAATATCACCACTTCTATGTCTGTTCTGAATGAATAGTTTTGATTATAAAAGCATGATATTATATGAGCAATATCACACGAGCAGTGCGAAATGGCTAGATATCAGCACTGGTGGGAGGCATGCGTTGGCACTGCTACAAGTGTGATATTGTGTTTATACAACAGATTGATGGCATAATCGTGTATATAAAAATGAAAATCAAACACGGAGAGGCTAAAAACCCTTTTGTATGAGGAACTACTTTCTTCCACCATTCCTTAACATCTGCAGCTGATGTCAGAACAGCAGGAGCCGTTGCTAAATCACCAAAGTCATTTTAGAGCTAATTGTAATTGTATGAACTGCATAGTTGCAATCTAAACAAATAAACTCTCACTTGAAAAAGCCTCAAAAGTACATTATGTTGTCCAACAGCTGCAATATATTTGTCAAACTGTAGTGAGTTTATTCATCTGCTGTCACTCTATGTGTGGCGGAGTACTACACAAAGGAGAGGAGGCTGTACGAGTGCTGTTATTATAGGCATATTACATGTGGTATATCCAGCTGCAGAACTGCAGACCCACACATGTTTCAGACAAACACACAATCAAGCACACAAGGTCTAGGCAAACCATATATGGTTAATGACGCATCAGTCTTCTTCTATTTTTTTTCTATTTTAACGACGACTATCATCTAAGGAGCATTTTTGCCACCTACTGAATTTTACAAATATGGCGATCGAGACAGCCTGTGCTATGATTGCCATTCATTAGACTTTGAACAGTTTGGGTTTCCTATTTCAGTCATTATATCATTTTTATACCTTAACGATCATTTTAACATCTCTGCAGTTTCTGAACTCAAATTATGTAAGGAAAAATAATTAGTTAAACACCTATGATTTTATTCACGTATCCACATACACAAAGAAAACATAATAGACCATCTGATTGTATAGGATCAAATAATAAACTAATTCAGGATCTTAATGTTATCAGACTTAGTTAAAATCATTTTGTAGTAAAATGTAAAAAAACAAACGTGTCAGATTAAAATGAATTACTATAGTTAATAATTTAAAATTTATATAGTTATAAACTGATTCATTTGTTTGTATTACTTTATTTGTTGCAACTAAATTTAGCACAAATTACCAGTATTACACCATATAACAACAATATAATAAGTATAAAAACAATATATTACTTGCTATAAATGACTACACATATTTAATTTTAGAAATTATTAATAAAAACGTTATTAGAAAATTAAGCTAATAAATACTTTTCAATCACTGGAGTAAAATAATAATAGGGTTATACATTTATTAAATGTACAAAGATTTTTATTACATATAAAGATGTGTAATAGCCTATACATATTTGCCATTATTTCCTTCACTATAACAAATCCATTATATAAATGAAACCTGTAATATTTAGATCGCTTATATTTCTCTGAAAAATGTTTCAGCAAGGCCAGCAATCGAGTATCTGCTATATTGAATCTGTCAGACAAATAATGAATGATCATCTATGATGACTGATAGAAAACTGTTCAGTCAAATTGAATGGCGATCAGAAACAATGTTCCCCATTCGCCGTATTTGTGGAATAGTATACACAATTGTTTATTGTGTACAATATTTATTATAAATATATATATATATATATATATATATATATATATATATAATATTGATGACTAGGTCCAAGAAGACGTTAATAACAATATCCGTTGTAACCATATATGGCTTGCCTAGATTACGTGTGCTGGATTGTGTGTGCCTGAAAACATGTGTGGGTCTGCAGCCATTATTGCCATATTATTGTATCTCACGCCTATCAGCCAATCTGATTCAGGAATCTGCCAATCTGATTCTAAATATAACATACATACAATTAAATATAACTACAAAAGATAAAAGAAATATAAAAAGAGAAATATTGCTTATTATTGTAAGATACATTTTGGGTGAAGCTGTTATCTTGCCAAATTATTTGTGTGCATTTAGCATACTTACAGCGGCATTTTTTCATTATGAAATGCTAATAATAAAATCCCAAAATTGACTTTTTCTAAAAATTCACATGGACAAAAAAGTGTGATAATCAAGAAACAATATCAAACTTAAAAATGACAAAACTTTACATTGCCCTTGTGCTTCTGCCATAACTTAAAGGCTGCAAGCATGTCAACTTGTTAGTTCTGGTTAACTGTTATCTTTACCTGGATGGCTTGAACTGAGAGAGTCTATGGCCAGCATAGCTAAGCAGAGATAAAGCAAGCACAGCAATCCATCAGTCATGCGTACAAGTTTGCTTTAGTGAAGAACCAATTCAGACATAATCATATGCATCACTTTCTGTATTTGGGGAATTCTGCTGACAAAACTAATTTAAATTGCAAAGTCACAATTTTTTGTATTCATAGCAGAGATGTCATACCTATTTCAGTATTTAATATTAAAAAACTTTTCTACTGTGATAAGTGCACTGCTGAATGCTAAAAGACATTTATTATGAGTGACCATGCAGACTATTTATTTATAACATTATGACCTTCACGCAAGCCTTTCCAGAGTCCGACAGAGCAGTTGTGAAGCTCTGAACTATTGGCAGTAAAACAAGGAAATCTAATCACTTATCTCTACTTAGAGAGGGAACTGAATCTCTAAATCACACTGTCACAATTTGTAGGTGAAAATATTCTTTTTAATGATTTATTTGTTCCTTCAGAATGATTTACGTTGTGTAAGCTTGAATTAATGCATCTAAAGAAGCTTGTCACATTTAGTATGATTTGTAAGTTTTATTTAAGCCTGTTTATGTAGATTAACATTTGAACACTATTGCATTACTTAAAACAGCCAATATAAATGAATATTTTGAAAGCAGTCATTTAAAAGGAGCATTGATCTGCATACCACATGGTAGGGCAGATCAATAAATAACAGTAATAAGCTTCAAGTATTTTTTATTTTACACAGATTAAACAGGTTACAGGTTAACAGACTGATGTAATAAATGTGACAACAGTCAGTCAGTGAGTGTTGCTAATATGTCTCTCTGTGAATGAGTGGCAGTTTCATTTACTACACTAAACTCAAACACGTGAAGCTCATGTTGTTTTCAGCATCTGACATCATATTTTATGAGGACATGAACTTCATCTCCTAAGATGCTCTGAGATACTGTATACTTCACAAGGTCTTTTATTGTTTTACTTGTGAAAATCAACCATCATAAACTGAAAAATCACTGTTACTTAAAGGGTTCCACAACAAGCCATCAAATTAAATAGTTTAACTTGAAGAGATGGTGATAGAAAAAGTATTACTAGTTTATTGTATTACTAAACTGTCATTCTTAAAGTTAATATAATAATGGTATTAAACATTATGCTACCACCATTTTTTACCCAAGATTTTTGTTTAGTTCTGTTAAAAAATAAAGACATTGTTGTTAAATTAATTGCCATATTTTCATTTGATTACATGCAAAAGATTGAGATTGTATTGAATCTTTATTCAGTTTAGAGAAATATTATATAGATGCCATACACTCTCACAAATAAAGGTATCACTGGAACCCTTTTGACTGGTACACTTACAGTTGAAGTCAGAATTATTAGCCCCCCTAAATTATTAGACCGCTTGTTTATTTTTTTCCCGAATTTCTGTTTAATTGAGAGAAGATTTTTTTTCAACACATTTCTAAACATAATGATTTTAATAACTCATTTCTAATAACTGATTTTTTTATCTTTACCTTGATGACTGTAATTAATATTTTACTAGATATTTTCCAAGACACTTCTACACAGCTTAAAGTGACATTTAAAGGCTTAACTAGGTTAATTAAGTTAACTAGGGCAGGTTAGGGTAATAAGGCAAGTTGTTGTATAACAGTGGTTTGTTCTGTAGATTATCGAGAAAAAATATAGCTTAAAGGGGCTGATAATTTTGTCAATTAAAATGGTTCATAAAAAATACAAAACTGCTTTTATTCTAGCCGAACTAAAACAAATAAGACTTTTTCCAGAAGAAAAAATATTATCAGACATACTGTGAAAATGTCATTGCTCTGTTAAACATCATTTGGAAAATATTTTAAAAAGAAGAAAAAAAAAATCGAAGGAGGCTAATAATTTTGACTTCAACCGTACTTAAAGGGTACATATTAGTACCAAAATGATCCATACTGGTACCTTAATGAAACTGATTACTGCATAAAGGGACCAAATTGTACATTATGTGAAAGTATTAGTTTATTAAAAAGTACAAAAATGAACTTTCTGACAGAGTTAATCCACAGTGGCAGCTTTTGTACCTTGATTTATGAGAGTGTAGGGCCCTAAATTAAAATAGTAGCTTACTTTACAGAGTATCATTGTGAACAAACAAGTTATGTTTACATTCATTCCCAAGGACTAACACACATATGAAAAAGTATCCCTCTCCCCCATAAACATTAAATGCATATCATGATGAACACTGATTAAGAGGAAAAAATATAGTGATAATATTATGGCCGTACCCCCAGCTCTGTTTCAGGGTCAAGTGCTTTACATAAAGGCGCAACGGTGATTGTTGCAGGGATTAAACGAGCAACCTTGTAGTGATCAACTCTTAACATATTTTTAACATAGAATCTGTATCTTGTTTAGACTAAAAACATAATGTTTCAGCATTTAATGCTACTTTGATTTGAACACTAACTACAGTGTATGTACCTGCTTTCAGATCGGACACTGCTCAGGTAGCTCCTACAGCCAGCTCTCCTGCTCTGAGAGCTGATATCACTGTATCCACTGCTGTAAGACCTTCCATCAGTGGAGAGTGAACGGTTTATCAGCCTTCTGGAGCTCATCTTCTCAAGCTGTAAGTGTCCACATGCATTCACTCAGAATCAGCTGCTTGTCCAGCATATGTTCTTAAAAATGTCCGCATGAAAGAGTTTGCTCAAAGCAAGCCGCAAAAGTCTTCCGTCATCACAGCCAGCATCCCAACAGTAGATTCCTCAGTGGATTTAGTCTTTGCCGGACACTGGATTATGGGTGTTTGCTCAGTGTTTTCTTTCTGTGCTGCTGGACTCCTGGGGTGGTGCACCGGCCATAAGACACTACTGTTTCCAATCAGTCTGCAGCTTGCGTGGCCATGAAGGCTAATTATAGCATCGCCGCAAATAGGCACACAAGCACATCACATTTTCCAAAACTAACTCACTAGACTTTTTTTTGTTTTGTCAAAAACATCACTATTTTTCTGAAATCCACAATAGATTTCCCTCTTAGGATTTGTTTCGAACTAAACCTCATTAATATGCTCCCAAGTGGATGTTTAGGAGGATGTGGGGCGTTTGTTAGTCCTGTAGTAACCCAGCATACTCCTTAAATGGGTTGTCTATTGAAGCAAACCTACTCGTCTGCCTGATGGCATTTCTCTGAGCTCCATTAAAGCTGACTATAAAGTCAGGCATCTGAGGACATGGCGTTTCTTTCCAAGCACCACAAGGCTGTAGTTTCAATGGACATCCCAGGATGATAATTTTCATCCCATGTGGATGAGCTGATGTATGATTAGCTTAATGAGGATTTTGACTTGTGGTGCCACATCTAGACGATCATCAGAGCACACATGAAACATATGAAACCAGTTTAAATCATCCAAAGTTTACTACATTTGTATGGGCATTGGGCAAATTCCCCTGCACATTTAACCCTTTCATGCATGGTGTCCACATTCATTCATTCATTTTCTTTTCGGCTCAGTTCCTTTATTAATCTGTGGTCACCACAGCGGAGTGAACCGCCAACTTATTCAGCATATGTTTTTACACAGCGGATGCCCTTTTAGCCGCAATCCATCACTGAGAAACACTCACACACGCTTATTCACACACATACACTACGGACAATTTTAGCTTACCCAATTCACCTGTCCCGCATGTCTTTGGACTTATGGAGGAAACCAGAGCACCCGGAAGAAACCTACGCGAATACGGGGAGAACATGTAGACTCTACAAAGAAATGCCAACTGACCCAGCTGAGGCTCGAACCAGCGACCTTTTTGCTGTGAGGCAACAGTACTACCTTCTGCGCAACCACGTCGCCTTGGTGTCCACATTTGTGGACAGTTAATTTAACTTAATTTAAGCAGTATTGCAGAGTGGCTACTCTCTTGAATTCCAGTTATTCTTTGCTTGAGACATCATTAATCCAAGATGGCTGACAGTGATGGCTGTGTGCTAAATGCCTCAGGCATATCTGTGAAAAACTTTTATTCAAGAAGGTCAATTGAGGTAAAAAAAAAAAAATAAATCAGTATGTACAGTAAAGTATGATGAATATGTTAGTAATTTATAAAATAAAATGTAGGGTAAAATGTAGTTTTTATTCACCAAAAACTAAGTGTCCACATATGTGGACGTCATGCAACAGAGGAGTATGGTTGCATAAAAGTCCTTTTTTCTGTAACCTGCTAATGTATCTATTCTATTTTTATTAAAGATGTTATAAATTGGCTTATATTGTAATAAAACAGGCATTTAACAAATATATCAACATAAATAGTCATTTAAAATGACATATTACAGCATTAAATGGCACTTTTACACATTCATATGGAAACAAATTTGCATTTTGCCTTCTAAACAGGGAAAGAATAGGTCAAGAAGACAGTACAGAATAGAAGACTATTCCAGAGTACAGTAGCAGTGACAGCAGTGATGTATTTGCCAGAAAATAGCATACCCATACTGCAAACGTTTCTGCATAAGGAAAAAGTAGTTATAGTCAATTCAACTGATTTATAGCACTGACAGACACTTTGACCTGGTGTTGCTCTCTGGGAGTTATCGAAAGTCTATGACCAGAACTCGTTAACATACGAGATGGCACTGTGACATTCCAAAGCATGCTTCAAACTAATGCTAGGTGATTTACCGTTGTCATTTTTAAAATTTTCTTCTTTTAAATTTCATTTGTAATTTAAAAAATGTGTTTTTTTTCTTTAACAGAATATGCTAATTAGGTCTAAAGCAAGGAGAGTTGTTGCATAGCCTGCACTAGATAACATCACAGGCAGATATGTTTAGTCTGTGTAGTCAGATTATGTTAACTATCCAAAACAGTTTTCCTGACTCCAGCTACAAGGCTTCCAATAATGAAAGTTTTGTTATTATTTACTCACCCTCGTGTTGTTCCAAACCCCTGAGAACTCCTATTTCAGCCTATAAATAAAACAGTAGGGATAGTCAATTCAACTGATTTATAGCACTGACTGGCACTCTGGTGTTGCTCTTTGAGAGTGACCAAAACTCACAAACTAGTTCTATAACTGATTACTGTTTTCTTTAAAGAGCTAGCTGCCGACTAGTGATGATTGAATAGGTGACGATTGAGCACTGATGATGAACACTAGCTGTTAATAAGCAGAAACAGAAAAGAAACACAGCTAACTTCAGTCAAAGCCTTAGATGAAGTCAGCTCAAATATAATACTCTTTGCCCTTATTTAAAGAGGGACAAATTACTCTCTGAACTTACACTCTGAACCAAGTAAATTTTACTCAGAGGATTTTGCTGTGTAGAAGAACTTGTTAGAGTTTAATCTTCACTTTAGTTTGAAGATTTTCATGTAATGCTTTGAGTTTTGAGATTACCACCTTGGCAGCTTAATTGGTTTGTTTCTTTTCTCCATAAGCAATACCTGTCCTAAAATTAGTTCTGAGATCAGGCTTAATCGACTGTATATGTAACTCATGAAATATTCTTAAAAATGGCTCATTTAGTTCATTTAGTTTATTTAGAATAACTTCAAATAAAACTAAGGACTTAGAAATGTACAACACATATTAGACATATATATTATCAGACCTTTAAGTTTAAGTTGAATAAAAATACAAATGTATTTAAACTTTCATAGATAAAGTCATGTTGGACCAACTCAGTTTCATTTAATTGTAAATAGTTGGTGCAAAATAAATTTATTGGATGGAAATCCTGCCCTTAACTAAACTAAGTTCATCCAATGAGTTATTTAGAATATGCTAACTAGTTCTAAAACCATCTCTGAGGAAATCTACCATTTTATGGCTTTACGTAGAGTAGATATACTGACATGAAATATTTTTAAGTTCTGTTAAGTTTGACATTGAACAAAATATGCAAATCTGTGGAGATATTTCTGATCAGAGGAGTGTTTCTGCCGACTAGTGGTAGTGGCTCATAACTGCAGTGATTTCAACAGTACTTTTAGATTGATTACTCCAAATACATTAAGATATTAGCTAAAAGTCTCAAATCAGCAAGGCTACATTTACTGATATTACTAAGAACATTTGGAGTAGTTCCCATTTATCTGAGGATGAGAATACAAAAAGATTAAAGCCAAAATGTATATATTACAGACATAAATGATGTGGAATTCAGTTTTTTCTTTCATCACTGAAACACAATAAATAGTACTTAAATTTGGTTTGGATAAGGTTTATTTATTTAGAAAAAAACATAAAAATATACTGCTTTAATGTCTTCTTAATACAACTCATTTATGACATGAAACGAGGAAAAATCGAAGTGTAATTTACGGAAAATAATAATAATCTGAGGATATGGAAGATCACTGGGCTCAGGCACGGCCAAGTCGTTGTATAACAGTGTGATTCATCATCCGTTTCAGATTGTCTTCTGAGCTACAACATTTATCCATTTCAATCGGCTATTGCTTTGAGTGAAACTTACATTTTGTAATGCCTGAAACAGCGTCCATCAGCATCAGTATTAGATCAGACGACTTAGCCATTCACAGTTTACGGGAGCTGCTGATTTACAGTATACTGGCACAGGGCCAGTCAAGCCATTAACTAGCTCCAAAGTTACTGAATTTTTAATGCAGCTTTCGATCGTATTGTTGCTCTAGCTTAACAAAATTTGTTGTTTCTGGCTTGTCAGTGTCATGTATTGCTTCATTTCTTTTAGTTCACATTATTACCACCACAGAGACCCACATGTCAGGATTTCGAAGCAGGTGTTTTCATTTGTGCTGTCATTGTTGCATACTGTTGTACTAGGCTACTTTAAGAAGCGCAAGACACACAAGCGACACACGATAAAAGATTTACATCACACTACGTTGCTGTCTTGTATTTTAGATTTTTCAACTTTCGAAACACCCTTTTTCTTGAATAAGCAAAGATGTGTAAAAAAATGTGCATATGCTTTAGCTTTGTTGGATTCCTTCAAACAGATCTTGAATTTACAATTGGTTTGTTGTTTTAATTACAATCTCTATAGTGTTAGAGTAGCACAACCCTTTACTATAGTGTGTGTCTTATGAATGCAAAAGAAAAGTAATGTAAATTGATTATTCAGCCATTCTGTGGATTCATTTGGATTAAATATCCAACAAAATCATCATTAACGGAAAACACAAAACATTTAAAGTTTGAAAATTAAGGCTGTGCATATGGACGAATCAGGTCTCCTAAATTATTGATGCCTGGTTATAAAAAATTATTGAAGAAATTATTAATAATTCTATTTTTTTTCTGGCTTTCAGACATTTCACATAACTTTTTCCATCAAATGCACTTTCGTCACCCACTTTAGAACATTCACTTCTCAAGGCCATCTTTTATTTAATAAATATAATTGTGATAGAAATGTTTAGGATTAAAGCTCAAGCTCAATTGAAAATACACTAAAGCAACTTCTTTAACATTACTTCTTTAACAGGTGGAATTTAGTTGGATTAGGTATCTTGAACTAACAATGACCAACCATTTTATAGCATTTGTAAGTGTAGTATTATCATTGTTATTTCATTTTTGTTCATAATTTAATTGCGTTAATTTACACATACCATATAGCTCACAATGTTAAAAAAAAATAGCTATTGTTTGTTAGTTCATGACATCTAATGTTATTAAGCTGGCTTTAGACTTACAATCAAGTTTATAATATGAATCAAATTTAAAGCCTTTACCATCATTTTACACTTACATAATACCTCATCTAAAATCTTCCCAACCCTCACACAATCTTAAGTCACACCAGTCTTAGTTCACACAAAAATAGCAGTTCTGTCATATATTTACTCAACCTTGTGTTGTTCCAATTCCTTTAGACTTTGGTAAATGAAACACAAACAAGAAATTCTCCACTGAATTTTCATTGATCCCATATCGCACTAGATAATGGTGTAAAAATGACCTGGGTCTGAGGTTTTGTCCACTTACAACCGCTTTCAGAGGCAGTCTGTAACTCAGTTAATGTTAACGCCACAATTGACATCAGTCTGAGATTGTCTGAACTAAGGTAGCCTGTTTGAACACAAAATGCAAAATGTGGAGCTGTTCGCTTGTAAGAAACCAATCTGACCCAATGGAACGAGCATGCAGGTCTTATCACAATATATAATGAGTTATATGATGAGTTTTTTCATTTTGTACAATGGCTGAAAAAAAAAGATTTATTAATTTGCAAAGACTAAAATCCTGATGCAAAGACAATTGAAATCTTGAGTCTTGCTTAAAATGATAAAACAATGTAACAGCTGCAGTGACAGCCACACAGAGCTGACCATTTTTGGTTTGTTTATAAATAAATTTTTTACATTGCAAGATGTGTTATTCCTGGGCAAATAACATTTTAAAAAGCACAAAGTTCTCACAAAAGTGAGCAAAAGTGGACAAAATTGTATAGACTTAAACACTACAGTGTAAAAAATGATATGATCAATTAGTAATAACATGCATGTGTTTTTAGTTCGTTGTAACTTATTAAACTAAGTTAATCATATTCTAACTTAATAAAGTTTAATTGTTTTAAGTCAGTTTACCATAATATAAGTACAATGGATTCATAGGGTTAATTTGATTTGGCTTATAAATGTAATTGATTTTTTACAGTGTACAGGTGAAGTAAATATTATTAGCCCCCCTATTAATTTTATTACTATTTTATTTTATTTTTTTAATTTTCCCTGAATGATGTTTAACAGAGCAAGGAAATTTTACAGTATGTCTGACAAAATTTTTTCTTCTACAGAAAGTCTTAATTGTTTTATTTTGGTGACAATAAAATTTTTATTTTTTTTTAAACACCATTTTAAAATGGTCAAAATTATTAGACCCTTTAAGCTATTTTTTTTTTTTGACAGTCTACAAAACAAACCATGGTTAAACAATAACTTGCCTAATTACCATAACTTGCTTAGTTAACCTAATTAACCTAGTTAAGCCTTTAAATGTCAATTTAAGCTGTAAGGAAGTGTATTGAAAAATATCTAGTCAAATATTATGTACTGTCATCATGGCAAAGATTAAATTAATCAGCTATTATTCATTCATTCATTTTTTTTTCGGCTTAGTCCCTTTATTAATCCGGGGTCGCCACAGCGGAATGAACCGCCAAATTATCCAGCACGTTTTTACACAGCGGATTCCCTTTCAGCCGCAACCCATCTCTGGGAAATAAATCAGCTATTAGAAATGAGTTATTAAAACTACTATGTTTAGAAATGTCCTGAAAAAATCTTCTCTTCGTTAAACAGAAATTGGGGGGAAAATAAACAAGGGGGCTTATAATTCTGACTTCAACTGAATCTGTTTGAATCATTTACTTGTAATCCAATTAAAGACGTCTGTATTAAATCAGTGCATCATATAAAGTGGTCTTATCTCTTTACAAGACTTGTTTTAAATGGTTCAGTTTATGTGAATTCATTTTACAACATTTTTGTAACTTCTGTGTTTTAGTTACCTGGAGTTCCAATGGATGGACAAATATATTATATGTCCACACTAACCCAAATCTTTGGATTTGGAACAACACGAGGATGAGTAAACACAGAATATTTGTATGATCTATCCCAGCCCCTGTCTATAGTCTGATAATGACATCAGTGTCTTTAACTGCAGTTTGAGGTCTTTCTGGTCACAGTCTGCTTGAGTGTAGATTCTGTTTAAATGATAAATAAAGGTTGAGTTGGTGACAGCAGCATTTAAAGAGCTACAAACCATTTTTACCCAACTACAAAGTAGTGCTGCAGAGAACAATTTCACAATAACTAGAGCTGAAACATACACAGTATTCTCGTCTTGGCATGATATTGGGAAGTCCACGGCTTTGGCTATGTAGATAATAGTAATTTCATTTTTTATAATATTAATGCTTAGAATGTCCCACGTCTCATTTATTTATTAATGAGATGCCCTCCCATCCAACGCAGCTTACAGGCCAGCCAGCGCCTAAGTGGGCAAAAGTATTCATAGTGGAATTGCTGGAATTCGGGTGTCCTCCGAATGTCCCTAAGAAAAGCCAAGTCCAGCTCAGACTCTGTGAGCACAATAAGAAGCAGAAGCAGGGCAAAGAGCAGAGCCACAGTCACTAAGAAAAGACGGGCCAAACTACAGATGAACTGATTCACCCCTTCTTCTGGGCTGTGTTGGGTTGGCCGGCTCTTCTCCAGGTGTGAGCGCTTCCCTTTGGGTTTGACGCCTTGTGGTCTGGCTTGGTTCTGAGAGCACTGTTCTGTTCCTCCTTCCTCTTGGATGTTGCGAGGGCCATTTGTGTGGCGAACCTGAGCCGGGTCTGATGGGTCATTGGACACCGGTGTGGGAAGAACGCTGTCAGAGGGACTGTAGGAGTCTTCGGAAAATTCAGCTGTCCCGCTTCCTCCTTCTGCTCCATTTCCTTGGGAGCGCAGGAATGAATTGGAATTGGAGACGGATCGGACTGGTGTGGAGTGGCCACTGTCACGCAGTGATTCCAAACCTGAGAAGAGAGTGTAGATGTTAAGTTAGTAAGTTTGAGCATTGAGAATGATGTTTTGTTTTGTGTTAGTAATCTTCAATCAAAGTCTGACCATTTGCTTCTTCGTTTGGAGTTGCGTTTTTTCTCTGTTGACATTAGTTTAATGGCTTCAGCCAAAATATTCTTAAGCACTCCCTATTTATCATTAGCTTGCTATGAGGGAATGATGGGGAAAAAAAGAGAGCCCTGAGCCCTGTCCCCTACTTAAAACTGTGGTTCAGTTGGAATTACATCAACATACTGGAATAGAAGTCTCAGAAACGTCCAGCTTATGTAGACTTTAATATATGTATATGTATATATATATATGTGTGTGTGTGTGTGTGTGTGTGTGTGTGTGTGTGTGTGTGTGTGTGTGTGTGTGTGTGTGTGTGTATAGATATATAGATATATAGATATGTAGATATATATAGATATATATAATCTAAAAAATTTTATAAGGTTTATAAAACATTATGAATAAACAAACAAATAAATAGTTCTGCTTATTACCTATACTGTTAGCTATAGAAATGCTTATTTAAAGTATACACTTTGTTTTTGAAAGATTTTCTAGATCGTGAAAATGTACATTGCTAATCTTTATTCCTTTTTATGTTTTTATTATTTTTTTATTTATTGGCTAATATGCACAAACATAATAAATATCAGCATCCACATGGTAATGGTAAGAATAAGCACCAAGTCAGAAATTATTTTGTAACACTGAAGGGTGTGCATGTTGTTTTCCTGTCTTAAATTATAAAAACATGCAAAATAATAATACTTTTAGGGTCTTTAAAGTCATGCAGACCACATAATAATTTTATATATATATTTTTTTAATTCAGGGTGGATTAACATTGATCTTCTATTCAGATTTTTTAATTAGATATAAAACGCCCTTGCCACCTAACACTACCATTTATGACTGTACTTATTTCTGTTATTATGTTTATAACTTTTTTTTAATTAACTTAAAACACCTTTTCAAATTAACATTATCTTATACTGTGTGTTGGCTATTCATTATGATTTTTATACACATATTTATGCCTGTATAATTAATTCCGGTGAATGCCAATGCATTACTCTAAACTGTGATATAACGTAGCGAAATAGGAAATAGATCTTTTATTTTGAAATTAGCTTCCTGTGTAGTGTAGCATTTCTAATTATTAGGGAGCCAACTTAAGCCAATCATATTAATAATTGTGGCTATGCTTAATGTAACAAGCCAGCTATAGAGCTCTGTAAAGTAAAGCACACTTCTGTGATCCTAAGAAGAAGACTTGTGATTGAGAGGCTATAGAGTCTTTAGCCATTTTGTTAGTGTGTCCACCGCCCATGCCAGAAATACTGGTTTAAATCTGCTAGAGTTGGAGGGGGAGTTACACAAATGTATTGTATTTATCGCATAAATTTACTGAACTTCATGTACAAGCTAAATGACAAACAGTGTTTCTAAAGTCGCCCGTTTAATGTTGTCTATTGGTATGGCCAGATAAGTTTGTGGTAAATCTGCTTCTTCAGCACATTGCTGTCAGCAAAGAGATGCTCAATTTGCAGCAAGTTTCAGAATGTTTGCTGAGCTAAACACAATAAAAGTGCTTAATATCAGTCCAAGCCAAATTTTCAAAGAAATATAGCTGAAAAATCCTCCTCATGCAGTCACCAAGTTGCTTAACATAACAGAACGGGCTAGTGATGTCACTAATCATGTCAAAAAGTATGCGATATCAAAAACACTGTATAATAAAATATTACCAATAATACTTTAAATACTTTTTTACCTCTTCTTCTTCTTCTTATGAAACAGAAAATCTAATTAAATTGTTAGTGAGGAATAAAAAATGTTTTTTTAACATTAGTCCTATCCTATTTTCTCCTCAAATTATTATTATTTACATAAGATATTTACATAAGACATAATGTATATTTTTAACCTGGTACATATGCATTAAACTCAGCATGAAATCAAAATTGTATATGTATATAAACAATGTATATGTGCATGTTTTTAGAACAATTTACTTGCCCTCATAATCTTTAATAAAATAAAAGGATTTCTCTCTCCCGCTCAGAATGACTTCACTTCTGGTCACATGGAATCTCTTCAGGCCGGGCTATTAGGTCCCCTTTCTGCCTTTCTGCTTTCGTCCTTTTATCCCTCTTCCTTTATTTTGTTATTAACACCCATCTTTCAATGATCCAATTGGTTAACAAAAGTAAAAAATCTAGGACCGCCCTCCTTTTTTCTCATTTTAGTACTGTTTCAATTGGACATACATCATGATATTGGAACAAATTGGACAATCTTAACTTCTGTTTCATGTCGACTTTAATTGTATACACTAAGTATGCACGTTGTGCATGTTGTAGATCTAAATAAACCACATCACAGAAAGTAGCTCCACCCACAACACATAAAAGCTAAAAACAGCTCATGCTAACAATATTTGCAATCCAATCCTCAATAAATTAGCACTTTCAAACAGAGTCGTGCTGAAATAAGTGGAATGCTCAGCTGTTTAAAACGCTATGAGCTTTACCTGCAGTGCTGGCGGGTTGATCACCAAGTCTGGATGAAGCTCCAGAGGAAGTGGAGGAGCTCGGCAGAGCTGGGAACAAAGGGAGGGCTCCTAGAGCTTTCCCTAATAGCCTAGGACCCATCGTCAGCACCCGTACCTTCACATCCCGGTAACAGTGGTTGATCATCCGCAGGTGAACGTTCACCTTCGTCTTAATCCGTATCAGACACTTTACCATGATTTATGGAGCTGCTAACTTTTGTAATGTTAATTTACTTTAACGTCACCTCAAAAGTATCACCACAAGACCCCTGTCCTCCCTCTATCCTCCTAAACCAAATCCACATAACACTATACTGTGTGTGTTTTAGGAAATGTGAAAGCGAGAACACTCTAAAGCCCTAAAGCCCTAAAGCTCCCTAAGTCCCTGAATGCCCAACAGCACAGCTGCCCTGTTCGCTTCAACCCCCTCGAACCCATTATGGGCTGTAACAAAAGAGGAACACACACTCATTCTGACAACAACCACATGACATACATGGACAGGCTGTCTATTTATAGACTATTTATAAATAGTATTGTTGGACAAGGTAAAGTCTGTCACTTCTTATTGTCTCACACATTGCCATGAATGCCCACCATGCACTAAAAAAAACTGTACTTTTGTTGTACAACTAATTTTTACAGAACGAAGCATTCAGTTTTTGGACTGCCACGTAATGCAGTGATCATTCATTCATTAATTTTCTTTTCGGCTTATTAATCCAGGGTCACCACAGCAGAATGAACCGGCAACTTATCCAGCACGTTTTATGCAGCGGATGCCCTTCCAGCTGCAATCCATCTCTGGAAATAATGCAGTGATCAATGAACCTAAATTTTCATTAATTATTCTTAAAAATGTATATTATTGTGTCAAATTCACAAAGCAAATAGTCATTTACAAAAAGTAGCTTTAGAAAGAAATATTTGGATTCAACATGAAATTAATAGCAAACTATAGGGCTAAAATTGATTTTATCTTCTAAAATAAATAGTAAAATATTTAAATATATTTAAAGAGCATTTATTGCAGGGACAGAATAGTTGGGTCACCAACATTCTTTGAAATACATTCTGTTTTGCAACAAATAATTAAAAATTATAATAATAATTCAGGTTTTTTTAAACAAGTAAATTTACATTTTTGAGTGAACCATCTGTTACATGTGCATTATGATGTGAGTTAAAAAAATGTAACATAAGGACTGGCAAGAGGTTTTAAGGTGTATTAGATCCACTTTTATTTGTAATCACTTAGAGAGACTCAATATAAGATTTTACATAGGCTGCATATGACACCTGTTTTATTGAATAAAATGGATCCTTCTGTACCAGCTCTTTGTGTTAAGTGTCATACAGAGCTTGGGACATACTTGCATTGCTTCTGGAGGTGCAAACTCATATCAAGATTCAGGAACTTTGTTGCGTATGACAATAGCACAATTTTATCAAATTAAAAAATAAATATTTTGGGACTCATTTCTAAAACATAAGCAATGTCATTGACCCTTGACACAGAAGGTTAATTGTTAGATAAACTGCTACTTGTGGCAAGAAAATGCATCCGTATTAGATGGATAAAAAACATTTCCCCCACTGATACAACGATACAGAGAGTTTTTTCCCCATGAGCCGCATGCAGCTGTCCTTAGATAACATACAAAGTTTTAAAAATCATATGGTCTCCTTTTATAGATCACCTGCCCCCACACTTGAGAGAAATGGTTTTGTGTGTCAATTATGTTTTTATTTTTAGGAGAACAGTTGTTGAAGGATTTTTTTCCCATTTTGGTTTGTTTTAATGTTCTTTTTTTCAAATGACAGGTCTATATTATAGGAATGTGATGGGGAAAATATATATTTTGTTTCATGTGCCTTTCCAGAGAATTTGTGACTAATTGGTCACCAATATTAGTACTTATAGATGTTATGATGTTTCCCTTTTTTCTGTTTTTATTTCCTTACCTCCATCTATCTATTAGCTTATTTACTTATTTTTAAGGATTACCATAATTTCTACAAAACCATTGCACATTTTTCTAAAACTTGCCTTTGATTATGTCTGTAAAAGCACATTGTACATTCATTTTTATAACCTTAAATAAACATGTAAAAAAATACTCATTATTAAATTATTTTGTAAATCTATACATTATATTATGATCTATCATATAAGTAATTAACTTGACAGGCTAGTGTCTGTTTTACTTTAGAACTGATCGTTAATACAGAGCAGAAGCTAGAATCAAACTTAGCTTAAACTCATTTGGCTTAAACAACATTCGCACTTGTACAATAACAACAAACACAACTGTAGTGGCATTTGGCTGTGTCAGTAAAGTGACTGGAGCAGGTGAACGACTGGTCACATTGTGCACAATGACAGCAGCTCTCAGGTTACACACAGAGCACAAACAGGGGGATGGAGTGTATAGTGTAGTTCATAATATAACTATCAAGAGCACAGTTTTGATCATTTAACAATTTAAAATATATTGCACACTGCAGACCGAATCAAATTATTGTCATTTAAAAGCTAAATCAAATGTAAAAAGCGATAGTATTGTAGGGGCTAACACTAAAAATGTCAGTTTATGATACAATAATTAAAAACACAATAATGAATACTAGCGCGAGAATAAACCAAACCCAAAATCTCCAGGGTGCTTTTCATTACATAGAGTATGCATCAATATAAGAGGAGAAATAAAATCACACCACCAGATGGCAGTATTTCAGTGCTTATAGACCAATAAATCTTACTAAAAAAAAAAAAAAAAAAACAGAAGATGGACAGCATCCCAAATCCTATTCTCCGGTGAGTATCTACATAGTATGAATAAATAATTACTTCATGGCTGCTTTATACTAGATGTTTTGTTTTATGTAAAACCCTAACAGGTAAAGGTATTTGTATTGAACAATTCTGCCAAACAATATATTCATATATAAAACTATACTTTATTATGATATATTAATAATACTAATAATGTAAATACTATTTTTAAAACACTATTCAGGTTATATATTTCACATTCAAAGCATGGGTATTTATAGAGTCTTATTAAAAGGGTTCCATTTAGCAACCAAAACGGGTTCCGCTATTGTTAGAAGTTGAAAAATCCTAATTTGGTAATAATACTACTAATTCCTTACATTTATATAGCGCTTTTCTAGACACTCAAAGCGCTTTACACATTGGGGGGATGTGTTTATCCACCAGTACTGGCAGTACTCTTGAACTATTTACCTTTACAATAAGCGTCAGTCGTATGCACACTTTAAAATTTCACCAAGATAGTTGGTCATCTATTTATTTATTGTGTACTCATCTATAAGTGAATTCAGACCAACTTCTTTTGTTACATATTATTTTTTCACCTGCTACATCTAGGAAAGTATGGGATATCAGATGCATCCCTTTACTTCCTTTAATTCAAATTCAGTTTAATTTTTAAAAAGTGGTAGGATATGATTTTCATGTGTGTGTGTGTGTGTGTGTGTGTGTGTGTGTGTGTGTGTGTGTGTGTGTGTGTGTGTGCAATATCATTAATCTGATATAAAAATCAATAGAAGTCTTAAAATTAGATATCCTGACTAATAAGTTTTAATAAATATAGTGTTTTTCTGTGCTTGTAGGTGCATTGGCATACCTTCCATGATGGAAATATGGACGGCTCTCCTCCGAGTTCGGGGGACGCTGCTTTGTCGTGGGCCATGTGTGATGGATGGACAACTCCTGCTGGGCACCATCCCAGCCCTGGACACACAAAAAGATGCAAAATATCAGCCGACATACTGTCAAGAACATTCAAAATGTTCAAAAATCAAGTCAGTGTAAGAAGACTGGCCTGTGGATCTCTGGAGGCTCTCGTCTGATTTTGGCACTCTGTTCCATCACTTCTTTGGCCACTTTACCACTTTAAGGTAAATGATGTAACCAACATATAAGCAACACTTACGTATGATCCTTTCATTAGCATTTGTTCACAACACAGGCCTAATTAATCAGAGCTGACGCACTCATGGGGCTCATTTAATAAGCGCCAGAGCAGATAATACTCACCTATATCTAAAACGACTCCCTTTGAAGAAAAGATTACTACTGGATACGGTGCGAACTTGACTGGATTTCTCAAACCTGAAATGTAAAGAACTATTTTCAGACTTTTTGACGGTACAACATTGTACCTGAAGACTGGTGTACCTGAGCTTCACCAGATGGCTTGAATGGCTCTATTTGGAAAGAGTTTATCATTTTAAATTTATTGGAATGATTCTGTTGGGTATGAATAAACAATCCATGAGCATAGAGAAATAAAAAAGAAAAATAAACAATCATAAAAACACACATAAACAATGTGTGAATACTAAAATTAATTCAAATGGTACAATTTTTTATTCCTGAATGCTTTCAAAATCATCACATGCCTCAAACACACATCCAAATGATACATTTACAAACACAAAAGTGCATATCCTGTGATGTGTCTATTGCGAATGATCACATTGTGATATCGTTGCTGAAATAACATATTGTGCAGCCCTAGAGGGAACACAACATATTATGGAAGTCAAGGGCTGATGCTTTTCAACATTCTTCAATATATTGTGGATGATTGTGTTCAACAGGAAAAAGAAACTCATACAGGTTTGGAGCAAGTGGAGGAAGAGTAATTGATGACAGAATTTTCATTTTTGGGCGAACCATCTCTATAATCTGCAGATTATTTGAAAGATCCTTTAAATGCAGTGGAGTTTGGGCCAACTAAAATCAAGTAATATTTTGAATAGAGTAATTAAGTTAATATTTTAAAAAAAATCTCTGGAATCTGAAGCTGTTTGTTTATTTATTTATTTTTTACAGTACTTTTTAATGTATTTTTCAGGAGCTTTGGTTAAAAAAAAGTTTCTGAGACAAGAAAATGTTATTTAAAATATGATTCATTTGAAGTTAGGTAGCTCTTGGATATTTAATAACAAATTAAATCATAGATAAGACACAATTTAGCCTAATAAAAAATGTCACTCACTGATAGAAAGCTTGGTTTTCCACTCCACACTTCCATAAATGCTTGCAGGCCTCAGGTGTTGGAGCAAAATAAGTCAAGATAATCTTCTGATCCTTAGTAAAATCACAAGAGGTCAGTTATGTGTTTAGATTAATTAGGCAAAATATGAACCTTCAATAATGCTAATTTTGACTTTATTTTTTCTTCTGCAGTCTTTTACCTCTTGATGAGTTGCATATATGTGAAATGTCTTGGCCTCAAATTTCAGTTTGGTCACCTCATTCCTGTACAGTTTTTTTAAAAAAGAAATACCGTCACAGTCATTTGATCTTGATTTCTAAGCAAAAGAAAATGATATGAGAGATTTATTTCTTCTCTCTTACCATTTTAGGAAGTGAATCCTCCTGTTACCCTGCAGCACCACAAAGCCAAATGGGGTGAATGCGAGAAATGCTGTATTGCCAGACACATCCTGTCATCAAAAAAGAAGAAGAAATTACTGTGCGTAAAAAAATTACTGCAATCTTTTTCAATGAGTTTATTTATAATGTATTTCAAGAGTACTCTAAATGTACTATAATTCATGCATAATGCCTTATAAACAATGTTATACTGTGTTGCATCATCTCATAATTTTACCCACTAAAAGTTAGGTTAAATTATAGATAACATTGAAATATCTCCTCGTTTCATATTTTGATATTGCTTTCTTAAGATCTGAATAGTTTTACATTATGGTCCTTCATAGCTTAAAGTGACAAAACCAATACCAAAAGCTTCACTATGTGCTTATAATATGGAAACACTTTAGTATAGAGACACTTTAGTATAGAGAGTTTGCATGTTCTCGTGAGTTTCCTCCATGTGCTACGGTTTCCCCTACAGTCCAAGACATGCGCTATAGGTGAATTGAGTTAGCTAAATTGTCTGTGGTGTATGTGTGTATGTCTTGGTCTTCCAGGTTTGGGAGTTGAGCCTCACCTCATAAAAACTAGATGTTGCGAAACACCAATTTAATGTGGCTATATATCAATTTTGATATCGCTGGCCCTGGTAGTAAGTAAGCAAATTGCGTATTTTATTAGTGCTTAATAATGCGTTTTCCCTGATCATATTTTACATCCGGCAACGCAGTGGCGCAGTGGGTAGCACGTTCGCCTCACAGCAAGAAGGTCGCTGGTTCGATCCTCGGCTCAGTTGGCGTTTCTGTGTGGAGTTTGCATGTTCTCCCTGCGTTCGTGTGGGTTTCCTCCGGGTACTCCGGTTTCCCCCAAAGACATGCGGTACAGGTGAATTGGGTAGGCTAAATTGTCCGTAGTGTATGAGTGTGTCTGAGTGGATGTTTCCCTGAGATGGGTTGCGGCTGGAAGGGCATCCGCTGAGTAAAAACTTGCTGGATAAGTTTGCGGTTCATTCCGCTGTGGCGACCCCAGATTAATAAAGGGACTAATGAATGAATATTTTACATCCCTTAATTCCAATGTCTGTTTTCACGTAGCTAAGTTTGCGTTTAGTTTAAGCAAACTCTGAAAGTGTAATGTGTTAAAACCAACACACATTCTTGAACCTGAAAACTCGGTTTGCTTAAATTAAACGCATGGTAATTTAATTAGCAGGTTTTATTCTGGGTTAGAGTTTGAAAACCCAAACCTGACTGAACTAATATGTAACACATATGTATATCTGATTAAATCTGATATACATATCTTTAAAAAAATATTATATACATTTGAATTTCCAATTAATATTAATAATGACTTTAAATTAAAATTTACATTTAAATATCTACATATAAATTTGCTTTAATATATAAATAGATGAATTTCATTAACTAAATTTTATGTGTAGGAGTGCCATGCGTTTAATTTAAGCAAATCGAGTTTTCAGGTTCAAGAATGTGTGTTGGTTAACACATTACACTTTCAGAGTTTGCTTAAACTAAACGCAAACTTAGCTTGGTGAAAACAGACCTTGGAATTAAGGGATGTAAAATATGATCAGGGAAAACGCATTATTAAGCACTAATAAAATTTGCAATTCGCTTACTTACTACCTGGGCCAGCGATATCAAAGTTGATATTTAGCCGCATTAAATTGGTGTTTCGCAACATCTAGTTTTTATGAGGTGAGGCTCAACTCCCAAACCTGGAGGACCAGGACATACATAGTTGGTTGCAGCTGGAAGGGGATCTGCTACATAAAACATATGCCAGAATGGTGGTTCATTCCACTGTGGCGACCCCTGATATACAGTTGAAACCAGAAATTTACATACACAAAAAGGAACATAACCATTTTTTTAAATGTCTGATGGAAAATCATACTAAACAATTACTATTTTAGGTCTGTTAGGATTACATAAATGATTTACATTTGTTAAATGCCAGAATAATAAAAGAATAATTAAAGAATTGATCATTTTCTCTGTTATAATATTTTATTTTTATGTCTGCCCCAGCATTGTTTATTTCAGTTTTTATTGTCTATGCATTTAAATTCATTACATTTCTGATAATGATATTTCTTAATCCTCAACAGACAAAGGAATTCTTGAAATCCATGTGGTAAGAAACAAATCAAACTGTCTTCCTCATGTGTTGTATGTTTGGCTGCCTGCTACACACATTACACTTTCAGCATGTGCTCCAAAGTTAATCACAAACTGCTGGTTAAACCCTGATTTAACAGAGAAAGTTTATATCAAGCATTGTGAAACCGCTTAACCTGAGCTTAACCAGGTTGGATTTGTTTGGTTTTGTCAAGCTTACTTTTTATTATTGTTATTATTGTATTGTTGTTATGATTATTCATCAGATCATACACTGAAAAAAAAAAGATTCCTTGGATTCACAATTTTATTTTTTTATTTTAAGTTAAGTGGTTGTAAACTATTTATTTGGGCTGAATATAAATAAACCATTTAAGTTGAACATCACCAAATTTATTTAGTTTGTTTAAATTCAACACATATAAGCTATTCGCATAATTTTTAGTGTACAATATATTATTTGATTGTTAATAAGGCATTGTGCGAGCATTATAACTCACTAAAGGCATCTTTAAAAGGCGGCACAGAAACCAAACTTGAAGTGTAATGAATTATCAAAAACTTTTTCTTTTTTTTATGCAAATCATTTCACAAACAGTTTAATGTGGCATAGCATCTTTACACTGAATACCCTTATAAGGCATCATAGAATGTGTCATTTCCTGGATAATAGCAGCTGTTTAGTTTTGTCACTGACCTTGCAGGGATGTGGATCTACTCCATATGTTTCAAGAGTCTGAGCTTTCCTTAAGAAATTCAGCTCAGACGTTTCAGGACTCTGACCACTGTAGGGAATAAACACACCAGTTAGCTGTCTGGGTTTGTTCTGGGAGATAAATTGCATAAATGGCGTTTCATCTCTCCATTAAAGTCTCTCTAAGAAGAATGACATACCGCATGTGACAGGCTAATTGAATGAAAGCTTACGTCAGCTCAGATTTGTGGATCTCAGCAATGCGGCGCTCCAGGCGCTCAGAATGCTTAGGGAAAAACTGAAACTTAGAGCTGTATCCTTCCGGATGCTTTCCCGGGTCATAATCTCCAATCTCAGCTAAAAAAAAAAAATATGACAATGAAACAAAACCAGAGTCATCTTATCTTCCTTTGACGTCACTCATATGCAGCAAAGCTCACGAGATTCTATAATTAAGCTAATATTGTAAAGAATGGCTCCTGTGACTGTGGTTTGCTTTTACCCTGCAGTATGAATGCAGCCAGCGTTGCAGCGTCTGAACTTTTGCACAGGAGTCGGCCATGATATAAATCTCTTTTAATCTGTAGGAAGAGCAGGTATCTGAAAACAGTGCAGAGCATAAATTGAACCAAACAGTTTGTTGATTGGAAATGTCATATTTGATGAGAAAGGGACCACATTGTAATATGCAATACCTAGTGATCTCTTCTTTAAGTGCCGCAGGGTCCGGGGGATAGAATTTTACACGTAAACACATAGTGTACGGCGGCTGAGCTAGGACACACAATGTTCATGTGCATGTAAACAAGCAGACTCTGTAAATGTTTGGACAATTGTATGCAAAGACTATCCTTGTTAAGGATTTTCCACACACGGTATGACTTACATCTCATTTGTTTGGTAATTGGCTTGCTGAACTCCAGCCAATGCTGAAACAACAAAATAAGAAAGAAACAATGTCTGGGATGTAGATAGAAATTCCAGTTAAACACATTATGACCAGTCTTTTCAGCTGATGACACATATTACATATCGATTGCATCACTCCTTTAGGCTCTTAGTGTAAGTGTGTGATCACTGGGTTTCCTGCTTCAAGCTCATGCACAATCATTAGCACTGATACGTTCATCAGGCATGGGTTATTAACTAGTCAGAACTTGATTGGATATTAGCATGTGCTTAATGTGAAATAGAACACAGCTTGATAAATATACAGTCTGATTAAGAAGTTAGTGTGGGATGTACTGTTTTAAAGTTCTTGTTTTTGTCCACTACAAAATCTACTTTAAGGTAACTAGCAGTGCAACCCAGTAAATTGACTGTACTTCTACCTCAGGGCCTCTGTTACATTTGCATTAAAATATTCATTAGGCATGCAGCGATGTATCAGTCAGTAAGATATATATATATACAGGTATATATATACAGTTAAAGTCAGAATTAGCCCCCCTGTTTATTTCTAATAACTGATTTCTTTTATGTTTGTCATGATGACAGTACATAACATTTTACTATATTATATATATATATATATAGGCTTAAAGTGACATTAAAGGCTTAACTAGGTTAATTAGGTTAACTAGGCAGGTTAGGGTAATTAGGCAAGTTATTGTATAATCGTGGTTTGTTCTGTAGACTATCGAAAAAATATAGCTTAAAGGGGCTAATAAATTTGACCTTAAAATGGTGTTTAAAAAAAATGTAAACTTAATTTATTTTAGCCTAAATAAAACAAATGAGACTTTTCTCTAGAAGAAAAAAAAAATCAGACATACTGTGAAAATGTCTTTGCTTTGTTAAACATCATTTGGGAAATATTTAAAAAAGAAAATCTAAATCAAAGGGGGGCTAATAATTCTGACTTCAACTCTGTATTTGTTGATATTAGATTAATTTACAAAAAATATTATTTATTGCCATTTTACAGTGGTATTTACAACAATAATATAAAAAATTAGGATACTGATAGCTTACTAATTACATGGAGGAAATGATCTGCAAGTTTATTGAATAATCCAGCATTTTTCATGGGGCAAAATCAATAAATACCTGCAAAATAATTATAATCTGTACAAAATATCAGACCTGAGTCTAAAATGTACACAATCAAGGTCAGATATGCAGCGGAAGAGCAACTGGTGTGCTCTATGATCAGTCGCTGGCGAAAAAAAAAGAAAACAAAAAACAAAACATTGGTTAGTATAGGCTAAAATGTCTGGAGCAGAACATTTTATAATTTACAAATAGTAACAACACTGGCTTTATTTGTTATATTATTAAAAGAATATATGCAAATATATGTTCAATTAAAACTACTGTTGTTAAATGAAATATTGAATTGCAAAAATCACCTTTTAAAATTGTCATATATTGTATTTTGATCAGAGCTTGTGCCTCTTCTAAAATGTTGGAAAGTTTCATTTTAAATGGATCCAAACAATGTTCAGTAATAAAAGTTTAATGGATAAATGTAAGAAGCTGGTATATACAGTACTGTGTGCAATTGACCAATATTGGTATCAGTATTGAATACAGATTGGCTAAAAGTTCCAGATTTATCTGGATCAGAGAGGCCTAAACTAGGGCCCGCAGGCAAAAGTTGGCCCATGGTAACCTTTGATTTGGACCGCCATTCCATCTGAGAAGAGAGGGAGAATTTGGGGGAGGGTTGGGGTTAATGTCTTTTTTATACACATTGTCATTCATAATTTAACTTCACCTTTCATTTGTGAGTTTTGTTTTTGAGCTACAAAAAAAGAACTTCAATGTTTCAATTAACTGTTGTAAATTAATCCAATTAAAAGGTAAATAAATAACAAATGGGCATACTTTTGCTCAATGGATAGACCACAATTCAGAAGTCCTCAGTAAGCAAATCAAGGCAAAGGCAGGTGCAGCTTGACTAGTGTATTCAGCATTAAACTTAAATGAATTCTTATGTTTTCATAATAAAATGTAATATATATAATGCATTAGTTAAAGTAATGTTTTCTATTTATGTTGTAGTAAATGAGGAAATCACCATGGCAGTACTGTAATACATTTTGATATATTTACCCACGGCCCTAAATCAAGTTTGGTTTTTGGCCCTACATAAGAAAAAGTTTGGAAACCCCTGATCTGGATGCAGCTTTGATGATGCAAGCTGAGACTGCATATTTCAGAGATGCAATGTCAGACACAATGCACTCAATGGAGTTAGTGACATCACTGTGAGGGGAAGGGTTAGGGGCAGTGGTGTAAAGTAATACATTACAAATACTTAAAGTACTGTAATTGAGTAGTTTTTACCAGAAAAGTATGGAGTAGTTTTAAAAATGTGTACTTTTACTTTCACTTGAGTAAATTTTCAGTGGTAAATCTGTACTTTTACTACACTATTTTCCGTCATTCTGCAGTCACTACTTTATTTTTTCTTGTCTATGGGGATTGGCTAAAGTAGTAATATCAATTAGTGATTCATGTCCAATTAAATCACACATAAAAAACTAAACTGCATCATACTGAACAACCTCAAGACACGGAGCTAACCATTTGGAAGCATTCAAAGTGTCCAAGAAGATGCCCAAAATCACATGCAATGACCTAGAGACTGTTTAGACTGCATGTTAATTGAAGTCTACTGTATTATGACGTGACTGGCCTTAAGCAATCACTAAATGCACTACAGAATGTTACGTTTTAACACACACACAAATTGCATGTAAACACATCAGACTTTAACAGTGTAATACTACTTACTCCTGAGTACTTTTTGAAGTGTTACTTTTTACTCCTACTTTAAGTAATATTTACAACAGATACTTTTTACTCTACTTACACTACATTTTTGGGCAAGTAATGATACTTTTACTTGAGTAAATTTTTTAATACTCTTTTCACCACTGGTTAGGTAAGCGCATTAAAATGCAGTGGATGCAGCTCAGATTGCACTGCTCCAGGTCTGCAAGACCCCTCTCGAAAGTTTTTTCATTGGTTTCAGTATTGGCCAAACAAAAAAATCAGTGCATCCCTAGCGTCCACTCTAACTGAAGTCTAACCATTGTGTCCGATCTTAATCAATATCACTACTTTCCACTATTTGGTACTCCAGCTATTTCGTATGTATATAGGAACTCACCCTTTGCTTGTCTGGGTCCACAAATCGGATGCCAAAGTAGTCTTTCTCCAGCAGATTCAGATGCTGACAGACCTGCTCAAACAGCCAGTGACCTTTTGCATCCCTCTGGAAGAGAAAGACATGGAATCAATGAGACAGTGTTTGAACATAGAAAAATATTGGATATCTGTTAACACATAACATATCTGTTTTAAAGAGCATCCCTTCTCACTTGACATCACTTAACCTGCTTTGCTGACATTCAGATTGTTTAAATATAGCTTAATGTACTGTTTAGAAATGGAAAAACAGGAATATTTGCATTTTAAAAATCAACTTTAAAGAGATTTTATTCTAAACATCCATCTGTGGATGTTTGACTGTAATGTTAATCAAATTCACTCAGTGATGTCTAAACGTTCGTGTTTTATGTAGAACTCATTTTGATGAAACAGCTGCAAATAGGGTCACCATTACAAACAAAACATCATGAAAAGAGACCAACATCTGTCATTTCTTTAATATTTGGCACAAAACAGATTCAGGCTACCCAGATTGTCTCTGGTGATTTCTAACCTCATGTATTTTATACCCTTGAAAGCATTGACTGAAACAGCTGCGAATATACAGCAGGGTCACTAAATCAGACAAGGCAGAATTAGAGGATACAGTCTGTTACCCCTCTCTGTTTAACGCATGATGATGGTTTTTACCCGAATTCTAAACCAGCAGGCATTTTGGATAACACAGCATAACACGTCAGTGGTTTTACACCCTTTATTTCACACAAATTGAAATGAATGTTACCCAAATCGTCTGTTGTTGTCTAACCTTGTGTATTTTATACCTTAGAAAGACCTGTTTCATTATGGCCTTTAATATTTAACCAAATTCTCCCTAGTGACTCCTGTGTTTTATATCCTCGAAAGCACTTTGCTCTGATGCAACTGCAAATATACAGCAGTCACTAAATCCAATGAGGCAGGTTTAGAGGTTACTGAAAAATCTTACCACTCTTTCTGTAATTGTACGCCTTAGAAAGCATTTTTGCTTGTGTAAACAACTGCAAATTTAAAGCATGGTCACCAAATTCGACAACACAACATTGAATATTACTCAAATTTGTTACCGACCTCTCTTTATTAAAATGTATTTAATGCTACCTAATTTTATTCTGGTGATATGTAACCCACTAGTATTTAATGTCCTAGAAAGCATTTTGCTCTGATGGAAACAGCTACACATATACAGTATAGGGTCAAACCATCCGATTTAAATCATCAATTCAGGATTAGTGTCAGGGTATGGGGGTGGATGGAGAGGAGGCGAGGACCCAAATGCAGGAAATGAAGGATTTTATTGAAAAAATAAAACAAAAACAAAACTCAAATCTCCCCATGTGGGGAAAAACACGACATTATATTATATACTAAACTAGACTTGGTCTTGAACTAGGCAAGACACAAAACTCTAAACCACTGTTGTAGAACCGGAATCAGCATACCTCATACAACAGGGAAAGGAAACAATCAACAAAGGACCAGCAGAGAACAGAGCACACTAGGAGAATAAATAGGAAAGACAAACCAATAAACAGACAGGCGGACAGGTGAAAATAATAATTACAAACAAGATAACAAGGTGGGTGGGACAAGCAATAGACGGGAGAGCGCATGACAGAGACGAGACAAGCCATGCGCTCACATACAACAGGACAAGAACATGCAGCCAATGAGAGAACTCATTAACCGCATGTTCATGACAACACAAACACAACACTGAAGCACACGACAAAAGCACGTGACCACAATGTAAACACAGAGCCACGTGCTTTGACAACAGACGCACACGATGAATGAAAACACTCACCGTGCGCTCACACACGCAGCGTGCATGCTTCATCCCAGCGCCGACCAAGACCGAAACCAACAAGACTGAGACGCTGGGAATGAAACACCACGCTGCTGACAGACGAAAACACAAACACGAGTACAAGAGCGCACGCATCTGAGGGACGCAGAGCGCGCGCGGCCGCATCAAGCAGGAGCGCGCACACTCTGCGTACACCCACGACGGCGAGCGTGCACACAGAGACAGAGACAGGACCAGACATGGGTAGTGTCCGAGCTCTGCCACCAAAACAAGAATTTACAAGACCAGAGTAGCAGAACCCTGACAGATTAGAGGTTATCTAAACCAGTTACCTTTCTCTATTTTAGAACAATAATGGATGTTACTGAAATTCACTCTGGTGATGTCTAAGTTAACATCCTTTATTTTATGTGTTATTTTTTATGTGTTAAAAGTAACAGATATACAGCAGATTTTTTATTCTGTTACGCATCTCTCTCTCACAAACAGTGGCTTGTAAAATCCTACATTTTGTAACAAATCAAGAGGTAAACAACTGAAATAAAAGTCATTGTATATCCTATAAGTAATTTTGTCTGAATAGCTGCAAATTTACAGCAGCTTCACCAAATGCGACCGCATAGCATGACAGGTAACTGAAATCTGTTACCCTTGTCTGTGTTATTTATTTTTATTTTTTTGCTAACAATGGCATTACTGTAGCCCAAATTCTCTCCAGTGATGTTTAGCCCCTGTGTTTCATATTCTTAACCATTGTGCGCTGTTGGGGATGTGTTCATCCAGACTTTGGCGACAACTTTCTCTGTGTTTCAGCAAATGGAATTTTTTTTGGTGGCAAATCTTATTTCATTTATTCATTCATTTTCTTTTCAGCTTAGTCCCTTTATCAATCCACATAAAGCGACAGCAGAATGAACCACCAACTTATTCAGCATATGTTTTATGCAGCAGAGGCCCTTCCAGCTGCAACCCATCTCTGGGAAACATCCACACACACTCATTCACACTCATACACTACGGACAATTTAGCTTACCCAATTCACCTGCCACGCATATCTTTGGACTTGTGGGAGAAACCAGAGCACCCGGAGGAAACCCATGCCAACGCGGGGAGAACATGCAAACTCCACATAGAAAAGCCAACTGACCCAGCCGAGGCTCGAACCAGTGACCTTCTTGCTGTGAGGTGGCAGCACTACCTACTGCATCACCGCTCACCGGCAAATCTTATTTTAACACATATTTTTGGAAAACACTTTGAAAATTTTCCAAAACTCAACAAACTGCAATTTGACTACCCTTTCGTTATGTTGGTGGCTTTTACCCATTAACTTTAATGACATTATTTTATTGTAATGCCATGACACCACATAATCATGCATTCTTGATTGTTGGTGGTTATCCTTGTTAGGAAGAGGTCAAATGTGTAATATTTACTGTTGATCACCAGAGTGTGTGAGAGTGTGAGAGAGACCTTTGCGCACTTACGTTGATGCATTTGAGAAAACCAAAATAAGCACCTCAGCTCTCAGAACATAGTTTACATAGTAAGTGTATTTCTGCACATATACTACACTCAGAAAATAACATTTCCACCAAATCGGCTGTATCCCTCTGTGTCTCTCCACTCCCCCAATAGCTGGTGTGTGGTGAGGGCACTGGCGTCTTTGTCCTGTGGCTGCTGTCGCATCATCCAAGTGGATGCTGCACACTGGTGGTGTGGAGAGACCTCCCTAATGATTAGGAAGCGCTTTGGGTGTATTATGGCCATACACAATAAATGAGCTAAATAAACACACATTACTACATTACATCTGTTGTTTGTTTAAAATACTTATTTAAAATAAGCTGAGACAACACAATTCTTGAGTTGTTGTTTTTTTGGGCAACTTAATTGTTTTATGTACGATTCAATAGAATTTGTAAAAACTAAGTTAACTTAATTCCTTCATGTGTGATCTTCAAGTGTATAATTTGCTGTTGTACATATATTTTACAAAATTAGCATTAGAGGTTATCTAATCTGTTACAAATTATTTGTTTAAAATGTTTATTAAATTCAGGTGCATATGTATTTTACAAAAATGGCTTTAATGCTACCCCTAATCACCTTTTTCCACACTGGTGTCTATAATGTCCTGTATTTTGTATAATAGAAGTAGTTTAGCTCGATGTGAACAGCTGGAAATACCCCTCGCCCCCTCTGTTTAAGTATTTTATTACAGTTTTGAAAAGTTTTATTCTTCAAGCACAGGTGGAGGCAGTAATAATTACAGCGAAAAGCTAAGGAGAGATGGTGTGAGCATTTTCTCTGGCTTCTGTTTAAGTCAAGCATTATGTCTCTTGCTCCGGAGGGAGCTTAATATTTCAGAATCTCTCTGGAGACATCAGAGTTCAATCAAATATTAAAATCACACTGCACTTTGAAGGCATCTTAGAAAGCTTTAGAGCCGTGTGATAGAGGAAAGACAGATTTTAAAATAATCATTATCTGCAAAAACCAGTTCAGGAAAGTGAGAGATCAGGGTCAAGGCAGCTACTTTCAGCACTCTAAACAGACAGACTTGAGCTAGCAGACTGGTATATCGGGCACATACATCTTTACTGCAAATGGTTATGGTTTCTGTGGCCCCTGGCCAGTATACCAAGTCAGATCCTTTTAAATCAGTTTGGTAAGCCTCAACCTCTTAATCTAGGAGCAGTTGTAAACAGACTCTATTAGGACTTAGAGGGATAGCTCACCCAAAACAAAAAATTCTGTCATCATTTAATTAACTTTCACTTGTTCCAAACTTGCTTGAGTTTATTTTTTCTTTTTCTTTTATTTACTCATTTGTTGTCTATGACAACCTTCCTTTCGAGGAAAATAAATGATACTACTACTACTACTTTTTACTGTTAAACAAAAAAGAACTTATTTTAAAATAAATGGAAACCAGTAACCATTGACTTGCATAGCATTTGTTTTCCTACAATGGAAGTAAATGGTTACAGGTTTTCAAGAAACTCATGCAAGTTTAGCATCAATTGAGGATGAGTAAATGGTAAGGATGAGTAAATTTTCATTTTTGGATGAACTATCCCTTTAAGAACTAGTCTGACTGTCTAGTATTTTGGAAAAAATCTGTGGTCTGGAACCTACTGCTTGTAAAAATGCTTTGACTGTGTGTAGTAATTCATCAGCAAATGATTAATAAAAACTTTAAAACACAACAGGAGATATAATTAGCTGCCAGAAAATGCAAGACAACCTA